TCGTCAGCTTCCGCACACGCAAAGGTACCTTTTGGCAGTGCTACAGCACTATCACCCTCAGGCTACATTCACTTCTTTTGTAGCGTCGGTGAATTGCAGCGCCCCCATCCACCGTGACTACTTCAATGCTCCGGATAGCTTGAACTATGTTGTTGGCGGAGCCGAGCATTTGCGTGGCGGGCTTTGGATCGAGGTTAGTTCAGAGTTTGCTAGCACTGCCGCTCCAGGGGTTTTGCAATTTCGAGAGGTTGCTCCGCGTCGGTGGCTGCCGGGAATGATGTGGGATACGGTTGGTGCCTCGTTCTCGTTCTCACCGCACTGCTTTCATGCCGGTGACTCGTGGTCTGGCGACAAATACCTCCTTGTTGCGTTCACTCTCAAACGATGTGTGAAGGCTCCTCTCCCGGTTGTGGCGGAGCTGACTTGCGCCGGCTTTCCGTTGCCTTCTTGCTGCCCTGCGTCTGACGCAGGGGGGGGAGCCCACAGTAATCTTTCGCCTTCTTGTTCCAAACAGGGGCTTGCAACTCAAAATCAAAATCGACCGCATGAGCTGAGTGCGTTGATTGATACTTCTCCTCCTGCCCAAGAGTCTTCCTCCGGTGTCGGGCTCTTGGTTGATGAGGTTGAGGCGGAGTCTGATTTCAGCGAAGAGGCTTATGGTTTGGATGCGGCCTGCAGTGCTGAGTCGAAGTTATGGTTTGAGGCTGCTGAAGCTGCGTCCTCCCTTCAGGTTGAGGCTCGGAGCTTAAGCCCTTGCCATGATCATGAGACCCCTCCCGATGACCCCCTTGAGTCCTTTGTACTGATAGACGGTCCGGTAGAGACCTGTGTCTTGCAGGGGATCGAAGAGCTTAATAGGGCTAGGGTTAATCTTCGCAGCTTGCAGGCAGCTAGTGGTTCAAGTAGTGCTGTCAGTGAGGTCCTCGAGGCGCGCTCTGAAGGCATAGAAAACTTCCTTGCCTATTATCAGGTGCTGTCGGGCCCGGGGGAGTCCAAGTGCCCCTTAGCAGTCAAAGAGCTTCGTCTTAGAGGACTGGGGGAGTCACCCTCTGCTTCTGATGCCCATGCTCCGGACCATGAGCCACCACCGTTGCAAACGAAAACTGTGAGCCTCGATCAGGTCAAACGCGAACTTCCTTTGTGGAAGCCAGCGATAAGTGCCGAATATGACAGCCTCCGTGTAAAAGGAGTGCTAAGGCCGATTTCGGAACAACAAATTGCGGAATGGCTTGCCCAGGGACGTGCGGTGCTGCGTCTGCCCTCAAAAGGAGTCTTCACTCGCAAGGCGGTGTCAGGCTTAAGGAAGGCTAGGTGCGTCGCATGTGGAAATCACGGGCCTTCAGCTGGTGGCTCCGCGTATGAACATCGTATGCTCACATATGCCGGTGGAATCGACGCGAGCGCACTAAGATTGTCGTTGGCTTTCATATCCCAGCACCCCGACTGGGATGTCTGGGTGACAGACGTCAAAACAGCTTTCTTAAACGCGAAGTTGTCCGATGGTGTTGATAGCAGTCTGGTCGAGTCAGGGACCGAGGAGCTGATCGTCCTTGATCCGCCCCGTATCTTTCAGCTTGCCGGAGTAGTCAGCAGAGCTGAGCGGTGGTTGGTTGAAGGTGCTCTGTACGGCCTTGACCGGTCTCCTAAATGTTGGTCGAAACTTAGGGACCGCACGTTAAAGACTGTTCGCGTTAAGATTGGAGATATTGAAATAAGCCTGAGACAGCTAGTTTCTGAGCCAAATGCATGGCTACTGACGGCATCGTCAGGAGGCATTGTCGGCCTTCTGGTCGTATATGTCGATGACCTCATGATTGGAGGTGTTGCAAAGTATGCATCCGCAGTCCTCGCTGAAATTCGCAACATCTGGCAGTGCTCGGAGCCGGACCAGCTTAGCTCTAAGAATCCTGTGCGCTTTTGTGGTGTTGAAATAGAGAGACAAGGCCGTGCGCTCTTAGTCCACCAAGCATCGTATATAGAAGATGTTGTAAAGCGCTACGAAGAGAGTCTTGGGGCTCCACTGGTAGAGACTTCGTGCCCGTTTGTAAAGGTTCAGGACCCAGAAGAGCCAGAACCTTCTTCCCCTGTTGCTTTGAGAAAGGCCCAGGCACTTGCGGGTGAGCTTCTTTGGGTGTCTGGAAAGACAAGAGTAGACATTGTCTATGGGGTTGCGAGGGTAACATCATTGGTGAGTCGATGTCCGGAGCTTGCTTTCAAGCTCGGTCTGCATATCCTTTGCTATCTTAAAGGCACCAAGCGGGTCGCTCTGAAGTACCAGTGCGCCGCAGATCAGCCTCCCCATGGCATGCATAATGAGCGTCGCGTCACGGCTCTTCCTTACCTGCTTGAATCTTTCACTGATGCTAGTTTCGCTCCAGCTGGTGACAGAAGCTTTGAAGCTGGCCTGGTTCAGGTCGGTCGCAATCTAGTCTTCTGGGGTGCAGGTAAGCAGCCCTTCACAGCTCTCTCTACTGCTGAGTGTGAGCTGTTAGGGGTTCTTGAGGGTGTAGCGTTGACGGAGTCCCTTGAAGGGCTGGTGCATGAGCTTCACCCAGAGGTTCAGCAGTTTCCAGCGTGTCAGGCTTTCTGCGATAACCTTGCATCCATCTCAATCGCTTCTTTTGAAAGTGGCAATTGGCGCACGCGCCACCTGCGGGTTCGGTCTCAAGCCCTCCGGGAAAGGCTCCAGTCTGGAAAGTGGCACCTGTCGCACTTAAAAGGAGAACACATGCTGGCAGATATTGCCACGAAAGTGCTGCCTTGGACTCGTGTCAGAGACCTCTTGCTTTTGTGCGGGTACGATGTGCCAAAGGTTAAGGCCCCTGTTGCGAAACTAAACCTTTTGAGGCAGGCGTTGGCGCTGCTTGTTGTCGGTTCGCTGCCTGTTCAGGCTCAGGGCAAGGGAGGAGTTGAAGGATCGACGCAGGATGACTGGAGCAGCTGGTGGCTTTCAATAGTTCCGGTTCTTGTGGTTGCAATAGGGATTTTTCTGCTTTGTGCTGTGGGAAGGTTCTTTAGCACACGACGCACTGAGCCAGTCGAAGATGGCCTTGAGCAGCCAGAGCTTGAACCCATTCCGCTTTCCGAGCAAATCCCGCAGCCTATAGTCATTGCTGACTACGATGATGGACTGCGTTGCCGTGGCAGAGGTGCCAGGCCAAGGCGAGTTAGCACTGGTGCAGGCCCAGACGTGCAGTTTTCTCCGTGGGCCCTCCTGCCTGGAGCACCAGAGCAACGTAGCCCCACGGTTGAACCTCCCCCGCTGCGAAGGAACACCAACCGGATTGAAATTCCTAACTTTTTTGATCTTGGGGACCCTAATAGCTGGGAAAACTTCATTGATCGCGTGTTAAGAAGCAGCCTGGTTGTTGACATGCAAGGAACTGTCGCACTCGAGCTTCCACCCGAGGCCCCGAGAAATCATCCTGTAGTAGTTGTTCCTGAGGCCCTTCCCTACGAGCCGGAACCTCAATCCCCGCGTAGTGATGCAGAGTCTTCTTCGATACAGTCTGGTCGGTCAGCTGAGTATTATGACCGCGGAGCGCGGCGAGATTTCGAGCTGTATATGGCAACGAGATCAGACTCCAGCTCGTCATCTGGAACTCCTCCGCACTGGGTTCAAGGGGTTGGGATAGTTCCTGCTGCTGAGTATAGGGCTAGGTATGACCCTACTTACCCCCACCGTGACCAGATCAATAGGCATGGAATCGATGTAGTCCCTGGACCCGAACAGCTGTACCGCCAGTATGAAGAGATGCGTGAGGCAGGTCTCTATCCTGACTTGCCAACTCTAACACCCTGGGCTGCAGGTACCAATGAGGCTGCTAGCTCCTCTGATGCTGTGGTGAGGTATGTTGATGACGTTGCGGTCTTAAGATCAACAAGATTTCCTCCGCTTGCGACTGACAGTGAGATTGAAGAGGCTGATGAAGAAATAAATCATGCTATCGCTTCAGCTGCAGCGTTTCTGATTAGGAATGGCATTGAAGTGCCACTTGAACAGTTGTCAGATGCTCAACAACATATCTTTTACACGAACGAGGGCTTTCGCCTCGAGCGCATGCACCAGGATGGAGTCCCTGAGGTGGATTGAAGTAAGGTGCTCTAGGCGTGGTTTTTAGGGGTCGTTTTGTCATACGTCCTTAAAGGTGTGGCTTGTGGGTCTTAGTTTGTTAGGCGTGCCAGTCTCGCGGATATCTGCTTGAGACATGCTAATCCTTTCTGACCCTTGGAGTACAGTATCGGCTCATCTTTGGATTTTTGACGATTTTCTTAGCTTCCGGTTGTAAGTCCGGTTTGGGTCAGGTTCTCAGGTTGTGTAGCTTGCAGATTGGTGAAGAGCCGTGCTTCTGCAAAACCGTGCAGGGGATTACATGTCCCATCTTTTGCAAGCACTGTGAAGCCTTGCGCCGTTTGTTGTGCAACCACAGTCCTTTTCCTCAGAAACTGAGGAGCGTCTTGAGCCTTACTTGGGCTACACTCCTTTGCACTCCTCCACTTGGACTTCTCTCCACCCTTTTCCGAGGGCCCTTTGGACTTCAGCTGCTTAAGTGTGGTTGGGTTGTTGGGGTTTGGTGGTGTTTTGGCGAACGCCAAAAGGGGGAGCGCAGATGTGTATGTCCCTGCCCCTGCTGCAAGGATGACACGCTTGACTCCGCAGGTGCATGGCCCCTGCAGCAAGGAAGACAGTCAGGCACGTACAGAAGACGTTTTTTAAATCGAGAAGTGTACCAAGTTAGATCTTATTCGCTTTCGCTTCTGCTGCTAAAACAGTTGGCTGGCCCTCGTACTCGAGCCCTGAACCCTAAACCCATAGAACCCTGGGTCCCTAAACCGTAATCCTAAACCCTAGCCTTATAGATCCCTTATAGATCTCTTAAAGATCCCTTAAAGATTCCTTCAAGATCCCTTAAAGATCTCTTAAAGACCCCTTCTAGATCCCTTGAAGATCCCTTAAAAGACCCCCTAAACCCTGAACCCCAACTCTCTGAGGCGTCTGCTGGTAGGTGACCGAAGGCAGCAGCTCCTTAAGGTTTCAGCAAAGCAGAAGGAATTCCTTTAAAGGAACCCTAGTGGTTCCTTTCTTTAAAGGAACCCTGTAGGGGTTCCTTTAAAGGGATCTACAAGGGTAGGGTTTAGGGTTTAGGGCTTTAAGGGGTTTAGGATTCCTGAGTAGCCTCTTAATCAAAAGGGTACCCTTGTTACTACTGTTTGGTTTCAGACTCTAAAAAAAGTAAAAAGGGCAAATGGGTACTTCTCAGGAACCTAGTCTTTAGGGCTTAAGGGGTTTTATGGGGTTTAGGGCTTTAGGGGCTTAAGGGTTAGGGGCTTGAAGGGTCAGACACGAAGATACTGACAGAAATTTCGGAAATTCACACCTGCGCTTTGCGGCCCCAGGCCAACGAAAAGCTGAGTGGAGAGAGTGGAAATGCCCTAAACACTAAACCCTAACCCCACAACACTAATTTCGGTTGCCCCGTCCTCCGCGTGGAACATCAGTGTCGAATCGCGAGGGTCGACGGGGAGATCCACATCCTTTTTTTGCACAACGCCTCGGATTGTTTTGAAGTGCCAAGGCTAGGGCTTTGGCTTACTGTTCGGACAATGGGTAAAGATGCTGGCTTCAACATTTTGTGGCAGCTTCCGAGAATAGGGGACCCTAATATATAGTACCCTAAATAGTGCAATCCTTATTAGAAGGACCCCAAAGCAGGGTTCCCCCAAGCTTCGGAAACTCCCATGTAGACATCCTGGAGCAACACCAAATTTCTCTTGAGCACCCCAAAAGCTCCGGAAGAAACCTGAAGAGTCCTACAACCCTAGAGAACCCAGCAACTTCGCATCTGCTGCCTTCCCGTGAGGTTTATGGTTTCAGGGCTTAGGGACGCTTCAAGAGGTTTGCAAAGGTACCATTTTGGGTTCAGGGTTCCCGGGTTCCTGTTTAGGGTTTCAGGATCTGTGCTTTAGGAAATGGGGTCTGCGTGCCTTCACCCGTTCCACAGATCCGCGCGAAGATCTCTCGGCACACAGCTTTTGCCACCCGCCGCCTGCAGTCAAGAAAACAGGACTCAGGTTGCATGGAAAGGCTTCGATGAACCGCGATCCAGCATACATGGGAGGACCATATACGTGTGCGAAGCCGATGTTTCTAGTCTGAACCCCGTCTGTAAACTCACTCTCAAGCCTAAACCGGGTGACGGCCGTGCAAAGCGCTGTGAACTACAATCGAGGCTTAGGCCTCCTTACTATGATTGCTTCAGAATCTAAGTGTGCTATGCGCCTTTGTAAGGGCTCTGTAGCCTGTAGCGAGTTTGAAAGAATTCGAACTTGAGGTCTGCGGGGGTCTGAACCATTGAAGATTGAAGCTGCGACCGATGCAATCTCTCACCCGAAACCCTAAACCCCAAAACCCCAAACGCGATCTCAAGTTGCAAGTTCGACACACACAAGCCCAGCGAAAGGAATTGTGCTGAGCTGGTTTGGGTTCTTGGGTTTAAGGGCTTCAGGGATTAGGGTTTAGGAGTTTAGAGTTTGTTAGGCTCCAGGGTTTGGGTTCTTGGGGGTTAAGGCTTCGGGGATTAAGGTTTGCAGGCTGCTCCACATCCACAACTTACAGTCTTACTATAGGGGCCTTAATAGTTAGAATAGGGTTCTGGGGCCCACGATACTATATTTATCATGAGAACCTATACCAAAATAGTATAGGCAATTGACTTAGGCCTTTAAAATAGAATATGTTCGGCGTCTCTGACTCCTCCCCGTGAGCTGAAGCGTCCCATGGGACTTAGTAACTACCCATAGGCCCCAAAGTAGTTCCTTTTTGTGATTACCTTAAAGGATTCTAACTATGAGCCCCAAAAAGGAACTACTTTGGGGCCTTACGGTAGGGATATAAACAAGGCATCTACACTTATGGGATTAGGTTCAGGGTTTCGGGTTCAGGGCTCTAAGTAGGGTACCTAGAACCTCATTCACTAAGTCCCAGCAGTCCCATGATCCTCCAAGTGCTCCTAGGTGCGCACGCACAGGCCGAGCCGTGGCAAATCGTAAATAGGATCCGTGATGTGATTTAAAGTATTTTCTTGATTCCCTTATACCCTAAACCCTGCAGAACCCTTGAAAGATCCTGTTAAGCAACACTTAAAGGCTATATGTTCCGTAATCCAGTGGTTCTGGAGTGACAAGACTCTCTCCACGAGGGCATCTGAGGCCTTTTCTCGTGCCTCTAGAAAACATATACTGAGGGGTTTCGGGTTCAGGGTTAAAAACAAAGGGTTTAGGGTTTAGGGTTGCGGGTTTAGCGTTTGCAGTTTGGGGTTTAATTAGGGTTTAGAGTTGAGGATAACTATTTGGGATATTTGCTCAACAATTAAGCAGAAGAGGCTCAACACTAAACCCGAAAAGCGCATCCCCCCTGCCTGGCAAAGGACGGATCACAAGCCTTGGCTGACTGACTATAGTTCATATAGAAACCCAAAAAAGTTAAAGTCTAAAGTTATAGTTCATATAGAAGCCCCCCAAAAAAGTTAGAGTCTAAAGAGCCACCCAGAAGAAGGCCAAGAAGCATCTGCGTGTGAGAGATACGTCATCTCCAGCACCTCTCCGGTGGGTCTTTTCTAGTTCATGGTTGGGATAGGATTAAACATTCTAAATTGTTATTCCTTATAAGGATAAGATTAAAAATTTAAGTTTTTATTCCTTATTGGGTTTAAGTACCCATAGAAATGTAAAATGTTACCCAACTATGACAAAGTTGTTGTGCTTTTGGGTAGCATGCTATCCGCTGAGACATTCTGGGAAAGCTTCGGCAATCTACCGTACTCTGCTGAGATTCTTCACTCAGGCAAAGCTCCGCATCGGTCCCCTTTTTCCGGTTTCAACTCTTGACGCAGACAGTTCTCCCTGCATCGTCCGTCATTGTACAGCTGGCGCATCAGCATGGCGTGGGTTTTGCACTGCTACTACGCCACACCTGATCTTGGGCTGTGCTTTTGTGTGTCTCGAAATCTCAAAGGTCTATTCCCAGTAGCAATACACCCTCCACCTGTGTGTAGAACTTAGATTACAGTATGATCCTCAACCCAAGTGGCCTCATATCTGTTCTGCTTAGGAGCCTGTTTATCGGCAAGGTCTGCAGGTTGGACTTGTGCCGAGCGCTCGGAGGGCCCTGTCATGAAGAGATATGCATACATACTGGCAACAGTGATGTAGAACACAATCATAATAAGCATCGTCATCGCTGTTACTCTTTCGGCGACTATGTCGATGACTAAAACTATCTCTATTACTGTTACCATTACCATTGCTATTGGTGGTACTATTGCTTTTGCTGCTGCTATTGTTAAGGCTGTAACTATGCCAAGTCTCGCTACCATTACGATTAGGAAGACGACGACTACGACGACGACTACTGCTGCGTCTACTTATTACGAGTACTACTACTGCTACTGCTGCTACCGCTCCTACACGACGACGACTACTACTACCACTACTACCACTACTACCACTACTACGACTACTACCACTACTACCACTACTACTACTACTACCACCACCACTACCACTACCACTACCACTACCACTACCACTACCACTGCCGCTGCCAAGTGGCACTACCGCGGCCACTGCCACGCCACTGCTGCTACTTCTATTTCTACTACTACTACCACTACTACTACTACTACTACTACTACTACTAATAACTACTACTACTACTACTACTACTACTACTACGACGACGACTACTACTACTACTACTACCACAACCACTATCACTACCACTTCCACGTGGCACTGCCACTGCCACCCACCACTGCCACCCACCACTGCCACTGCCACTTCTACTACTAGTACTACTACTACTACTACTACTACGACGACGACTACTACTACTACTACTACTACCACTGCATGTACTATTGCTACTTCCTTTACTACAGCCATTACTGTGAATATCATACTTACCATTTCTCTAGCCATTCCCGTTGCTATTGGTAGTGCATGTGCTATTACCATTACCAATTCTGTTGCGTCTACCCTGAATCTGATCCTTGTGGTTATCGCTACAGGGCCTTTATATGCATCTCAAGTGACCTCAATTCCTAAACTCTGGCATCCCTAAACCCTAAACCCCTAAATCCTAAACCCTACAACCCTAAACCCCTAAACCCTAAAACCATAAAACCCTACAACCCTAAACCTTAAACTCTTTTCATGGCTCTCCGACTTCAGGGCCACCCCGAAGTGAAGGTGAGAGCACCTGCAAAGACCTTGAAGTGAAACGCTCCTTTAAAACGCCACCAACAAAGGGAAGATTAGATACCAATATAGTATGTTTTAGGTACGGCCCCCATAGAGTAAGAGTCTATAATTGGGCTACTATTATGGTCCTACTATATCTTATATTATGAATATTCTTCAACTATTACTGAGTGGGGGCCGTACCTAACGTATGTTAGGGTTTAGGGCATACCTGGCAAAGGCATATTAGGTTGCAAGGTAAGAAGAATGTCAAGGACAACAAGGATGAATATTGCGACTTTTTCAAGCCTGCCTATTGGATGAGCTATGGTCATACATGGCCTGACACTCTTAGGACCCTGATTAGCATCACAAAGCACGGGACTGGTTTGCCCTCAGCTCTGTATGAAAGCCGTAGGCAAGCGGGTGAAACTTCCTGGGTGGAAACTTTGCCGGGCCCTCGTCCAGGCTCATAGAGAAACGCAGTCATCACTTGGCTACGATGTCGCTTCCTTGCTTGTCCAGTTTAAACAGAACTGACAACCTTTGGGATGATACAGGGACTATGCCCTCAACCCTGGAGAACAGAAAAGGTGCACGAAACCCTAAACCCAAAACACAAAACCCTTACTCTACTGCTAAGCTTCCCTTCTCCATCATCTTCACGAACTCATCAAAGGAGATCTGGCCGTCCCCGTCGAGGTCTACCTGGCACTTTCAGAGAGGCAAAAATCCCAGCGACCGCCGAAGCAATCGGGTTTGGGGTTTAAGGTGTAAGGCCGAGGGTGTTACAAAATTTCATAAACCCCCATACCGACCCCACCTCCTTGACCAGATTATCCTAAACCCTAAACCCTAAACCCTAAATCCTAAACCCTAAACCCTAAACCCTAAACCCTAAACCCTAAACCCTAAATCCTAAACCCTAAACCCTAAACCCTAAACCAGATTGAGCCACCCTGCAGGATCCTTTCAACAACCTCATTGAGCCCGCGAAAACCCTAACCCGCAGACCCCAACTCCTTGATCATAATGAACCCATCTCCTTAACAAAAACCTTATAGTAACCCTTGAAACAACCACAAACCCTAAACCCCAGCTCCTTTACAAAAACCTCCCTTAAAGCAACCCTAAACCCTAAACCCTGACAAAAGTAAAACCCCCTTCTAGAACCCTGAAAACAAACCTAAACCCTGAACCCCACCTCCTTGACCATATTCATGATGACCTCACCGTCAGCCTGCTCCTTGAGGATGGATCCGAGCTCTTGCTTCGTGATCGTACCATCTCCGTCCTTTGGGCTTAGGATTCAAGGTTTAGGGTTTAAAGCCTTGGTTTTAAGGTTTAGGATTTAATGTTTAGGATTTAGGGTTCAGGGCTAGGGGGGACATCAGCACAAGCTCTTGAGAGGCATATCCTACCCTGTTCGGTTTGATTTTAAGGGGATTTATGTTGTCGTGGCCGTGTCCTTGTCAAAGACACGGAAGGCCGACCAAAGCACATCTCGCTTGAGGTACTGCTTCTGGTTCAAGGTGGCGGCAATGAACTCTGTGTAGTCGATGTTGCCCGAGCCATCCGTGTCTAAATTCTTCATGATCTCGATCAGGTCAGCAGGAATCTCAATGGCACTGTCTTTGATGCCATTCTGTATCTCCTCGATTGTTAAGGTCCCATCCTTGTTCTTGTCGAGCAGCAGGAACGTTGTGCGGAGCTGTTCCAAATCTTCATCCTTGAGCTGCTGTGCGATGAGGGTAAGGGCCACCTTCTTCATGCGCGAGCCCTCATTGAACTTCCTGAGGTGCTTGCACAAGTCTTTAGCCACCTTGCCCTTGGGCAACTCTGCATTCTTGTCCAGCCAGCGATGCTCCAACATCTTGGCTGCGGTAGGCCGCTTGTCCGCGTTGAAGGTGAGCATCAGCGAGATGCACTCTTTGGCTTCAGCAGACACGTCGTCCCAGTCCTGCCATCAAGAGTACAGTCTAAGCACAGAAAGCCATAATCCCTCGGACCCTCACCGCTAAGTCTTCCAAGTCCTCCGGTGGGAAGGTGAAGTTACCCTTTTTGACCATGCGGAGAATGTCTGGGTCCGAGTCGCCATAGAAAGGTGGATAACCACACAGCCTCAAATCGAGTTGTTCAGTCTGGAGAAATCAGGACAAGGAGACTTCGGGAGACCACAGCGCTTGTTGCCTGGCCAAGCAGCAAAATGTAGCAGATGACTCCACAGCTCCAAACATCACCTTACTTCTCCAGTTTCGTAGCCACTGAAGCTCTGAAGGCTGACGTTGAGGATTACATACGGAGTATACTTACCCCATAAAGGAACCTTTAAAGGAGCTCTTAGAGTGGATCCCTTAACGGAGCCGGAGCTCCTTAACCCTAAGGCTCGAAATGGCCCAAAAGCCTTATATAATATGGTCTTTGGGCCCAAAAGCATGAAACTTATGAGTCCTCAGGGCCTTAGGGTAAGGAACCCTTCAGTACTTGCTTACCCCAAAACCTAAACCCTGCTAAGTCACACTTCTCGTCGTAGCAGCCTTGCAGCACCTGCGGTGCCTGGGATTTGAAGTAACTAGGGAGCAAAAAGTATAGACTTGTTCTTCACAATGGTTGCTTTAAGGACAGGTCCCCGCAAAAAAAAGGTATACCCTAAGACCCCCCAAACCCTAAACCTCTAAACCCGCAGCACCCTACACCCTTGAAAGAGCCAAACAGCAGTAAACCCTACACCGCACACGACTCCATATCCTGGTATATTCTGGTATATTCTAGTAAATACTCGCAAGTTCTAGTATATTCTAGTATAGTTCATACTGGTTCCTTTACGGAATGATCAAAGTATGGCATACTCCAGAGCCCAGGTGCCACGTAGTAGGGCGTGCCGGCTTTGGTCTTCATCTTCTCCCCGGAGCCCACCTGCCACTCAGAGAAACCGAAGGAGGGCTTAGGGGTTTGGGGTTTAGGGTTTAAAGGTTTAGGGTTTAGGGGGTTTAGGGGGGTTTGGGGGTTTAGGGATTAAGGGTTTAGGGATGAGGGTTTAGGGGTTTGGGGGTTTACAGTAGAAGCCCAAAAGTTGGAAACCCAATAGCCTCAATCCGTAAGAGTAATGTATAGGGAAGCTCAGCACTAATTGTCCTTAATCTGGTTTCCAACTTTTTGGGGCTGACTATAGGGATTAAGGGCTTAGGGTTTAGGGGTTTACGGTTTTAGGCGCCTTTAAAAGGATCTACAAGGGTTCTATAAGGGCTTAGGGGTTTTATAGGGGTTCCTTTAAGGGATCTTTAAGGACCAAATAGGGATGTAGGGGTTTGGGGTTTAGGGATTAGGGGTTACCGGGATTAGGGTTTAGGCATTAGGGATTAGGGATTAGGGTTGCAGGAATTGGGGTTTGACAGGATTAGGCTTTAGGGCTGGGAGAGATAAGGAGGTTTCAGGGTTTTCGTTTGGGGATGAGGGTGTAGGGTAAGGGTATGAGGGATGAGGGTCTGGGGGTTAGGGTTTGGGGCGGGCTCGGGGAGGGTTTGCGGATTAGCGCTGAAGTTTGAGATGTTCGGTTTAGGGCTTCATCTTGGGGGATTAGGCTTTAGGGCTTAAGGCTTTAAGGGTGAGGTCTTAATTCCCCAATTTCGATGCACAAACACTTGGGTTTAAGATATTCGGTTTTATGTTTAGGGCTTGATCTTGGGGGATTAGGCTTTAGGGCGCAAGGCTTTAAGGGATAAGGGGTTAATTAGGGTACATGGTTCAGGGTTTCAGTGAATTAAGAGTTGCCTACTTGTCGGTTATCATGGGGAACTAAAGGTTAACCTTTTTGGCGATATAGGATGATATAGGGACTATACTACCCAAAAAAGGTTAAAGGTTGCCTACTCTACTACTACTTGGAGGATCACGGGACTTAGTAAGGTCATAACTGGGGTTATAAGTAGCAATTATAAGTAGAGCTACCTTATCTATAACCCCAATTGCTAAGTCCCATGATCCTCCAAGTAGACCCTAAACCCCTAAACCCCTATAGATCCCTTATAGAAGCCTTTAAAAGGAACCCCTTAAGGAACCCTTTCAAAGGAACCTTATAGAACCCTTTAAAAGAACAGTTAGAGGAAAATGCCGCCTTGTGCTGCTTGGCGAGGCCAAAGTCAATCACCTTGATCTGCGCGTCGGCATCCCGGTTCTGCAGGAGGAAGTTCTCTGGCTTGATATCGCGGTGAACCTGGACTTTGAAGTGACCAGGGAGAAAAAAAGTATAGACTTTTATTTCATAATGGTACCAAAGAAGTATTCAAGTATGGTACTCCAAACCCAGGGAACAAAGTTGTTGTTGTGGAGGTAGCTCATGGCACCCAAAATCTGCTGCATGTAGGTTGCTGCACCCCTCTCGTCGAAGGCGCGCGCTGCATCTGAGCCTTCGTGCTTCTCTGCCTCCTCAAGGATTCGATCAAAAAGCTCACCTCCTGTGCAGAGCTCCATGACAAGGTACACCTTCTTGGCGTCCAGGAAGACCTCATAGAGTTTCACGATGTTTGGGTGGTCTAGTGCTGACTGGATGTCCACCTCCGTCTGAAATCTCTCTCCATCCGCAATCTTCGTGCGATCGATAGCCTTCTTTTCAACCGTTCCCAAAAACCGTGCATAAATTATGGCTCTACATTAAAAATAGATAAGACAAAAGTGCCAAATAAACCCTAAACTAAACCCTAAATCTTAAGTCGTAACCCCTCGAATTTATCCCAAATCGATAACCAGGCCTTGATGGCCCGCACGGCATTTGTGGACTTGTGCGTTCCTTTAGAGACGGAGCCATAAGAGCCCTCACCCAGCTTCTTCTTGGTCTCCATCTTGTAGAACTCATCCAGCCTAGGCTCCCCATCGTTAGGATTCAGGGTTCTAGGATACCCAGTAACCTAAGAATAAAAAGGCCTCTCTTCTTGGTATTGGGTAACTTTATAAATTATAAGGAACCTAGGACTACAAAAAGGGAATAAGGGTACTACTGCGCATCCTAGTAGGGTTTAGGGTGTAGGGACCCATATTATAGGGATAAGGTACCCCCACCTAATTTTCGGAAACTCCACAGCTGAGCGTGGCCGAAGCAGAGCTGGAGTTGAAAGTCTGGTATGTGGGATAGGTTTTGATGGGAGGCCAAAAGGGGGGTTATGGGAACCCTAATCCCTGCTAAACCCCCCCATAGGCTAAGAACCCCTTTTGGCCTCCTATGACCCAGTCCCCATTTTAGGGACCCATTTTATAGGGATATCCCTGCCTTATTGGGCTCCATTATAAGGGAGTTTATATGGGATATCCCTATCCTCATTTTTGCTTATGTGCTTCTTTTGGGCCTTAACCAGTGTGCCCTTGATAGTAAGGGTACTCTTGGTTCTGGTACTCAATTGAAAAAGCTTAGCGAAGGGAACCCCACAGCAAAAGAAGCAAAAGGGTACTACTGGGGAACCGAGCAGCTTGCCGGAGTTTAGGGAGCAAAACGAATGTTTGAAATGCACGCCATCACTGACGAATTTCGGCGGCATGACACGAACTAACCCTTGGCAGCTGTCAGCTCACCCGCACTAGCTAGCGGTGTGAAGTCTTGATCTGCAAACGCAGCGTGATGCAGCAAGGCCGATCGCAAGTGACATTCTACATGCCGGCTGTGCGCTTCTTCTCGGTTGACATCCATGGACAAGAGATGCAAACTGAATCAGACCTATTCAACTTGCTTCTATTCCCATCTAGGCTATTCTACAGCCTAGGCGGTGCTTTTAAAGCCTTTGAAAACTATTACCTGGTAAGATCCTCTTAAGCCCAATAAGGGCAGATATAAAATGCCCCAAAGCCCTACCTAGTTAATTAGCCATGCCAAGAGCCACTCGAACGACAAACCCTTCCTAAATTTGTGGTCAACAGCATATGCTGTACCGTACAAGGCTCGGGTTCGATTCCCGCAGCTTTTTCAGCCAACCTACCTACCTCTTTGCGGTCTCTGACTGCATGGCTGATTTGGGAGCCGTTTCAAACCTCAGAAACTTGGGTTACGAAGTGGAAAGGGAGCCCCATAGTCCGGAAAACTTTTTCTACTATTTGCTTAAGAAACACCCAAAAAATAAAAATAAGAATCCCTATATTACCCCATAACGAATATATTTTTCTATTTTTTGGGGGTTCTTAAGCAAATAGTAGTTTTGATAAAAACAACGTGAGCTTCCAATAAGGCGTCTCCTCACTAAAAACAACTGTTTCTTAAGCGGCGGTGTCGCTCTATTCTAGTGGAATTAGCTCTATGCCAGTATAGTACTTTATGCCTGGATGGAAAAGTCAATCCACCAATTGCCTTCTTGGCCAGGGTCCGGCGCGGAAGCTCCTGCTGCCCAGGTAGGAGCCCTTTGTAACAACATACGCTGAGATAGGATGATACGGTGATCCGCACTGACATAGTAGAACACATATGTTGATATGCGAAAACACATATTATGTCTGTGTATGTATAGAGAGAGTGTATGTACATGGCAAGATATAGTTAAATACTGGAACCCCGGAAACGAACGCGAGCCCCTGAAATTCTCGAGAAATGCAGCAGAACGGTTGTCTAGTTTCAAAAGCTATCGCAAGAATGCCCCCCCCCTAAACCCTGAACCCCAAGCCCTAAACCCTGAACCTCAAACACTAAACCCTGAACCCTGAACCTTAAAGCCTAAACCCGAACCCTGAACCCTAAAGCCCTGAACCCTGAACCTGTCAACCCTAAACCCTGAACCCTAAACCAGAAACCCTAAACCCCTACACCCCTAAACCCCAAAACCCAAAATCCTAAACTCCTATAAACCCAAACCCTAAACCCCTATAAACCCGAAAACCCTATAAACCCTATAAGCCCTAAATCATAAAGGTGCTCGATTCACTGCAGTCGACAAGGGCTTGGAGACACGAAGGCACAAGTCTCCTCCTCCACGTTGGACCTGCGGCTGCTGAGAGAGGAAGGACAGATCTGGGAGGTTAAGGTTTTGTATAAGGTGATATATGGGAGTTTCCGAAAATTAGGGGTACCTTATTTTGGGGTCCTTATAATAGGGATCCTACTATTTAAAGTACTATATTAGGGTCCCCTATTTTCGGAAACTCCCATATATGTATATATCAGTGTACATGTGTTTATATGTGTAGGCATAACATGTTGTATGTAATTGCTCATCTACTTACTAAATACCAATACCTATACATACATACATACATACATACATACATATATATATATATACATATTGGAGGCTGAACTGTGACTTTTAAAGTCAAGCCATTGCAATGCCTCTTGATTTTCTGAAAGTCACATTGAACCCAAACCCTAAACACAAAGACCTATAGTAGAAGCCAGAAAGTTGGAACATCATTGTCCTCATGCCTTTAAGGTAAAGTAGATGGGATCCCAGCACTAATCCTCCTAAAGCCATGTTCCAACTTTCTGGCTCCTACTATAGGCCCTAAACCGGAACCCCAAGTCCCCTAAACCCTAAACCCTAAACCGGAACCCCAAGTCCCCTAAACCCTAAACCCTCAACCCTAAACCCGAACCCCAAGTCCCATGACCTTGCCATTCGGGACAGGCCTGCCAATTTCAAGCGGCGGTCCCCCTCCAGGACGATTTGTCAGCTGCTTTGCCCTGGAATGTGGGAGTTTCTGAAAATTAGGGTACCTCAGGGTTCCGTTAAAGGGTTACTACAAGGGTACTATAAGGCTTCCTTTGAAGGGTAGGGTACTATATTAGGGTGCCCTATGCTGCCTTGGGTTTGAATGTGGACATCGCATGGGTCGAGGCTTTTGGGTTTGGGATTTGGGGCGGGTTTACGTTGAGTACTGCCAATATGCTGGAGCCATAATAAGGGCTATATGTACGTATTAGTATTTATGAAAATGAGACTGTTACGGGGTGGGAGCACTACCCGAGATTTAGGGCTTTGAGTTCCCCTGTTGTGCATCTACAGTCATCAGAAAAGGTTCCTGCAAGAGCTCGTTTTATTCAACTTTAGAAGGGGGTCTACAATAAGGGCTCGTAGGGTTTACGGTCTACCATGGGAGCCTGAATTTGCTGGAGCAGCGTTTGTTGGGCATATTCTAGCATGGTTGCTCTTACATATGAACCCTAAGGAATGACCATGGCATTTGCGCAGGATTTCAGAATATACTAGTCACAAAGCTCTGTCCTGCGCGCAGCTGCAACTCCGACAATGAAGTCCACCCGGGTTTAGGGTTTAGGGTCGTTTAGGGCGTAGCTCTACAGTTTAGGGTTCTATACCAAGTTGCAAACGATAAGCTTACATGCCCTGCAGCTCCCAGCAAAAAGTAATTCCAGACAATACACTTGGAGCATCATTGGTCTTAGTGTATATGTAAGGTTATAAACCCTTGAATCGGGGTTAGAAGTAGTTACAACAAAAGCCACCCTCAGAAAAACCCTCGCTACTACGTCCCATGAACCTCCAAGCAAGCATTCCAAGAAACCCGCTCTGCGGCGCTGGGGTCATGTAAGGCAGGCGCCCCTTTCCGCTGCCGTCTTCAATAGCAGCCACGACCTTCGGCAGGTGGAGCACTCAGAATGACGCAAAACCCCATCACCTTGAGCCCTAAGCTAATTGTAAACCTGAATCCTCAAGCCAAGCCCCTAAACTCTGTCTGAACCCCGAGACCTCGTAGAATCACTATCACCACACCGACTTCCACACCCCAAGCCCACGCCCAGGCAAAAGTTACTAAGCCTGACTGAGCCTGATCAAACTTCCCTAAAAGTCCAACGGTTGATGATAGAAATCCTGCATTACCTTACCCCAAGGGTCCAAAGGACCCAATAATTAGGTACTCGGTTTTAGGATAGTAGTTACGTAGGTTAGGATTTCGGAGAGTGTATGATTATTAGGTACTTGGGCCATTGGGGTTAGGGACTCAGACATTATGGGTAATGCAGGATGTATACAGTAGAAGCCAGAAAGTTGGAACATCATTATCCTCATGCCCTTAAGGTAAAGTATATGGGATCCTAGCACTAATCCTCCTAAAGGGATGTTCCAACTTTCTGGCGTCTACTGTATATCAACCGAAGTACCTACTAATCATATACTCTCCAAAATCCTAACCTACATAACTACTATCCTAAAACCGAATACCTAATTTTTGGGGTCCTTTGGACCCTTGGGGACTTCCTTTTGAACAAGGAACCTCTACATCCCAATCAAAACTATTGCAACACCCTAGATACCCCAAAGCAGCCACGAAAATTTCTACAGCTTCAGAAAGCCCAGGCACTAAACCACGAAACCCTCAACCCCGAAAACCTCACAGAAACATGTAAGACACCAGGACGGACAGAAAAACGGAGCGTCGGGCAGTGCCCAAAAGCTCCCACTTCGAAACTTCCAGGTCTTCTTCGTCGCGAGGAGGCAGAATCTCTCCTGTCTAGGGTTTAGGGGTTTTAGGGTGGATCTTGCTCAGGGCTCGTTTAAGGCCTCCGACGCGGGTCCTTTCAAAGGTCCTATAAGTGTTATATGGTTGGATCTGTTGATATCTCCTTCCCCTTGAAAGGATTCGCGGGGTGGGCTTTTCGGCTTCCTTGGCTTCCTTTAACGGTTCCCAAACGGCATCTACAAGGCGCTTGGGTCTCGGGTTTTAAGTCATGGAAACAGGGAAGTAGGGCCTCAGACAGGGGCCGTTAAGGTTTCTACTCAGAGCCTCCAAAACCCCCTCATTGAGGAAAACACCTCAAATCACATTCGGATCATAATATATATATATATATATATATATGTATATATAGAGTCTATGACATTATGATATATTATATAACTTAATAGTTACATGACAAACATGATCTAAGGGATATTCGTGAACTAAGGCTCTGGGTATAGGGCTCATTTGGGTTCTCTGGTTTTGGGAGGCCTTCGACCCCAACCCTAAACCGAAAGTCTGGCACCGGGACATGCCCTGAGCTCTAGGGCTCCAAACTTACTTACCTTTGGATAGTAGGGAATGGAAGCATGGTAGTTATGGGTTCCTTTAAAGGGATCCTTTAAGGGATCTATAGGGTTTAGGGTTCAGGGGTTTAGGGTTTGCCTTTGGCTAGTCGGAAATGGAAGAATGGTAGTAATAGTAGTTATAATTATACCCCATTCCTCCATTCCCTACTCAAAGGTAAGCTTAGGGGCCGTAATAGTCTGAATAGAGTCAGAGTTCACTTCAGGGCTCCTTGATGGCGTTCTATATGCGTTGCTATTTGGGCTGCAATAAAGGTCCTGGCATACGGGCCTAAATAAGTACATTGTGTGGGGTATACGATAATAGAAGTAGAATGGGAACCGCATGGACCAGTATTGATAGTTCTTCAGGCTCCTATCTTACCATCGCGCGTAGGGTTGAGTGCGGCTGTGCTTTGTGCCGCATAGCAGTTTGAAGAAGCGAAGAATCCTACTTTTCATGTTGGATACATATTCAGGTTCCTCATGTTGTCAAGCTCCCAATACAATGATCCAATAAAGCCCCGATCATGACATCAGGCCCGCTATGCTGTCAGATACATTCCTCAGGTACGGTGTATTGGCGTCTCTTCGTTGACTCGAAGCCCCTCCCGACACGCCCCTGACTACCACACCCCAAAACCCTGTATCCCGACTCAAGCAAAAACCCTATAACAACTCCAGGAGAAAAACAAAAAAAGTAACGCCGGCGCAAAAAAGCGCTCGGAAACCTGCGAATAATTGTTCAAAGTTTCGAACCTCAACCCCAAACCCCTGTAGATCCCTTGTAGAAACTCTCAAGACCCGAAGCCTACACACTGCCCGTAGGGTCCTCCTGTGTCACGCCGCCGGTCGTGAAGCAACGACCTCCGCTCTAGGCGGTACCTGGAGAGGACTCCAACACTAGGCTGTGCAGTAACCCACAGGGAAACAGTCAGGACATAATCGTTTGAGTAGTTCGTATTAAATTCGGGGCCCAGGAACCCAAAAATGACATTGCCGAAGATCCTAGAACATTTCTCTAAACGGCTCTTTCGTGGGTGTACAGACTGGTAGGCAGATAGATGGAATAATTGATAGATAGAGAGATAGAGAGACAGATAAATACATGGATGGATGGATGGATGGATACAAAGATAGAAGGATAGACCCTAAGAACGTCCAGCTGAGCACCGCGCTCCAGCTGCCCACCTCCCCAGAGAGAGGCCTGAAATGGATCCCAAGCCAACTCCACACCTCAGGCTGTAGTGTTGTTTTGGGGTTTGGGTGTAAGCCTATGTGGTTCTTTTGGGACTTTTGCGGGCTCATAGGGTTTCTATACGGGGGTTAAGATGTCAGGCAAAACGACGGCTTCGGACAGCTTCGCAAACAAAGACCTATGTAGGGGCCTTAGACAGGGTTCGTTTAAGGTGTTTTTGGAAGTGTTCTGAGAGGGATTCATGATAAGGGTCGCTAGGTTCAGGGCCTTCATAATTGAAGAGGGTTCCTTGAAGGGTCATTTGTCTTTAGGTGGTGCCTCATGATGGCTTTACTGTTTAGGGTGTGCGACAGGGTCCATCACAATTGAAAATAGGCTTTGGAGCACATTCTACCATAATGATATCATGGGCGTTTTTTCACAGGCTTGTGCGGATGTTTCAGGATTTCAATAGGTGTTGAACGGGCTTTCATTTGGTGTTAAGAAGCCGCCATGTGACGTAGACTGAGATTCTGACCCTAAGGCTCTAAGGACTCAGGTGTTGAGGCTTTTTGGCCCAACGACCATACGCAGAAAAGGTTTCCTCATCGCTTCCTATAGTCTAGGGTTTTGCACCGGGTCTATTTGGTTTACTACGAAGAGTTTTAGGGTCGAGGGCTTGGGGCTTGAGAGTGTTTTAGGGTCGAGGGTTGCAGGGCTTAGGCCTTTAGTGCTCCTTTTAGGGGGTTCTATAAGGTTCCTTTAAAAGGGTTACGATAAGGGTTCTATTATATGGGCCTTTATAATTAGGTTGGCGTGTTCGCATTTCAAGCTTCTCGTGATACCTCTGACCATGCAGCGAAGCGCGCGGCTTAACCGAAAAGGAAAGGAATTGGTCTTGTTGCTGGTGTGGTGTGTGTGTGTGTGTGCGCTATTCAAATGAGCGAAAAGCATGCGAAGCCCTAAAAGCCTGAAACTTACAGAACTGAGGCGGAAGCGATGCCATAACGCAGGCGCTTGGAACTCCTCCGCTCTGGGTGTTGAGTTCAGGGTTTGGGGTTTTTATAAGGGCTCCTATAAGGGAACTGTAAGGGGCCCTTGAAGAATAATGAAGGTTCCTATGTAAGAGCTCTATAAGTGCAATATAAGATCTAGGCGTTTAGGGTTTTGGTTTGGGGTTTGGGGCTTACGGCTGGGGCTTAGGATTTAGGGTTTGGGCTCGGGTGTTTAGTAGCTAGAGTTTCGGGTTTACAGCAGACTCCCAAGCCCCATAACTAAGCAATGTACCTCAAACTATGTGGGAATTCTTGGCTGGAGTTGGGGTATAGATTCCTTCACTAAGGGGTTTTGCAGTTTCTGCATAAATGTTTGTATAGGGCTTCTTACCCTAACGCATAACCCAGGATACCTATACCCTAAAACCCTAAACCGCCAAACAAACGTTGTACCCGAAAATGGCCCTACACCCTATACTCAGGCCACTATACACTAAACCGTTTAGACTAAACCCTAAAACCCTAAACCCCAAACCCCAAAACCCAAAAAGCTGCAAAAAGGGGCCCTTTAAGGAAGCCCTACAGGTCCCTTAATTGAGCCCTGTAAGGAAGAACCCCGAAATGAGCCCTAAAACACTCTTTGAGTATCGAACCCTGAGGGTCCAAGTACCTAATAGCCCTTTACTCTCCAAAATCCTAACCTACATTCCTAAAACCGAGTACCTAATTATAAAGGCCCATATAATAGAACCCTTATCGTAACCCTTTTAAAGGAACCTTATAGAACCCCTTAAAAGGAGCCCTACTAGGAAGCCCTAAACCCTAGACGCCTATAGATCCCTTATAGAAGCCTTTAAAAGGAGCCCCTAAGGAACCCTTTAAAAGGAGCCCTCTAAGAATTTTTCGTCCTTTGAACCCTTGGGGGAAGCCCGGGCCTCGCCGGCCAAGGGCGGCATCAAGTCGAAAGACTCCAAAGACTGGAGGGCGAGCTCCTGAGTTTAGGGTTTAGGGTTGGGGGTTTTAGGGTTTAGGGCTTTAGGGTTTGGGGTTTTGGGGTTTAGGGTTTTAGGGTTTAGGTTTTAGGGTTTAGGGCGAGCACCTGAGAGCAATCAAGTTTAAAGATTAGAGTTTAGGGTTTAAAAGTTTAGGGTTCTTACAAGGGCCTCTTTAAGGGATCTACAGGTGTACTATGTACTATAGGGTTCAGGGCTTAGGCTTTGAAGCTTAGGGTTTAGGGGTTTAGTGCCGAGGGATTGAGGGTTTATTGTAAGGGCTTGGTCAAGGATTTATCGCTTTTTGTTATCCCCTGTATACAGGCTCTATGCTGGCTTTACAGGGTTTTAGGCTTTACGATTTTGGATGTAGATTCAACTGACCCTGTCTGTAGGATTCAGAAGAAGGTTTAGGGTATTCCGGGTTTGCAGATTGAGGTTTCTTTTGTGTTTGGGATACTCTGGGTTGTCTGCGTTTAGGGCGTAGGGTACACTGGGTTCGAGCCTCACAGCTCCAATTTGGGGTTTGGTGTCTTGGGCTTTGATTTGGCAGTCGGGGGCATCCCTAAACCGTAAACCCTAAACCGTCATCACAACAAAAAAGCTCAGCTCCCTGCTGCTTCTTCAGCATAGGTGGGAGCTGGGAAGAGAATCGTCGCATCGGTCTCAGCGTGCACGTCGCGACAAGCCGTGTTGCAAAATGTAGAACTCTCTGTATAATCTGCTCGCAGGATGCTTCTACAGCATCTTCTTCAGATAAATTAACCTTTATGGATCACTTAAAGTAACCCTTATGGATCCCTTTTAGTAACCCTTACGGATCTCATATAGCAAATGATCAACCGTAGAACTTGCTAAACGGGAACGAGGTTCAACTCGGAAGCAACACAGTGAGGAAACTGCCTCTTGCGCCATGTCATGTCGCAGCGTCCTAATGTAGGGAACCTGACTACGAAACCTTGGGTCCTTATGAGGGTTCTTAATATGGATACCAATATATTGTAGTTATAGGGCCAGGACTTCTTGATCAGGTTCCTACATCATGATGGAAGTGGCGACTGCAAAGCGCAGTAAGGTCGGAACTGCCTCGCTCCATGCCGACACCTGGGATGGGAAAGTCATGATATCGATGTCCCCTAAACCCTCAACCATTTCAGCCTACACACGTCCCTAGCTGAAAGCTTCACCCTTCGCCCCGAAACCCAGAGCTCCCCAACCCTAAAACCTAAATCCCAAACCCCCAACCTACGTCCTGAACTCCAAACTCTAAACCCTAATCTAAGCCCCCGAAGCCCTGAGCGCTAAACCCCAAACCCTGAAGCAGAAGCGCACCTTCCATTGCGACAGCCATCGAATCGCAACGCGGTAGTTCTTCCCGTAGACCAGGTCGCGGAGAGTCAGCAGGTGCTCAAACCTAGTTTAGGGCTTCGGAGGGTTTCAGTAAATCTATACAGGATCTGGGAGGATACTCTGGGCATAAACCATGACATGCAGAGGACTGTGAGGGTTGAAGGTATATAGTATATATACCTTAACCCCAAATAACCTAAACCCTAAACCCTAAACCCTAAACCCTAAACCCACCTTCTCAAGGACTTATATAAGTAAACTATGATCGGCAGCCCTGCGAAAAAAGGTCTTCGAGGCTCCAGGTAGGGCCTAGGGTGTGAGACAGGATGTTCGGGTTCGGGGCTGCGTGTAGACACAACCATCGCAGTGGCTACCCGGAGGCTCCACAGTAGTTCCTCTTCGGGGTTCATATATAGAATCCTATAAGTAGGTAATCCCAAAAAGGAACTACTATGGAACCTATGCGTAGAATTGCAATCCACAATCTGGGAGTTTCCGAAAATAGGGGCACCTTATTTTGGGGTCCTTATAATAAGGATCCTACTATCTACTTGGAGGGTCGGGGGACTTAGTAACTGGTTATTTTAAGGACTTATAAGTACCATAACCCCAATTAGGGTCCCTTTTAGGGTACTTATAAGTCTACTTACTACCTACTTACTAAGTCCCCCGACCCTCCAAGTAGGGGTACTCTATTGGGTCCCCTATTCTCGGACACTCCAACAGGCAGCTCAGGGTTAAGGGTTTAGGGGGCGTTGCTTACGGACAAAAGAGACTCCAAAACCGCTGAATTAAGGAACATACCTTAAACTCTAGTAGGATCCCTCATATGATTTAAAGTATATTCCTTAGTTGAGGGGTTTTGGAGTCCCAGAGTGTGACGCATACTGTAACAGCCTTATAGATCCCTTATAAAAACCCTTAAAAGACCCCTTTAACCTAGGAGCCCTATAGTACTGGTAATTATTTCCCTAAACCCCAAACCCCTAAAACCCTAAACTCCTAAATCCTAAACCCTAAACCCCTAAACCCTAAACCCCCTTTAACCTACCTAACCCTAAACAGTACTGGTAATTATTTCCCTAAACCCTAAACCCCTAAACTCTAAACCCCTAAACCCTAAACCGGTCGCTGTGTCTGGGCTGCTGGGCTCTAGCGGCTCCAAAATCTGCAGGGCCTCGCCCCCACTGCGCTCGGCCTGACAGTGTAGGAGAGTTTCCTGAAATTCTCAGGATCTATACGGGTTCATTTAAGGGTTTAGGGTTTAGGAGTTTAGGAGTTTCCATGAAATTTAGGGGTGTACTTTTAAAGGGATCCTTTAAGGGTTCCATAAAGGGATCTACAAGGGTTCTACGAAGGGCTTAGGGTTTAGGAGTTTCCATGAAATGTCAGGGTACCTAATTTTGGGGTCCTTACAATGAGGATACTGCTGTTTAGGGCACTATATTAGGGTCCCCTATCTTCGGAAACTCCCGTATGAATCTGTGTGATACTGCGGGGCGGGGCCACCAGCAAGCCTGAACAGCGATGTGACTGGTCTACTCGCCGTTGATGTTTGGAAACGGTATCTGCACCTCAAAGAGCACATGCGCACCTGGAGTGATTGCGCACGTGCGCCGAGAAAGTCCGGGCGTTGTCTGGCTCCGCCGAAAGCCTGCCAAGGGGTGAGGGTTTGGGGTTTAGGGTTTACGATGTGACCAATGCTTCGGAGACGTGGCTACGCAAGACCCCGTGCCTCTGCGATGCGCTGCAACGGCAGCCGGGATGGTGGAAGGATGCGCTCCTGACTGTGCCAAGCTTGGAGAAATCTCTCCTCTGAACCATAAACCTGAAAGCCTTTAGGGTTTAAGGGTTTAGGGTTTAGGGTCCTAGAGCCCTAAACCCTATGGACCCGAAACCCTAAATCGTCCCCTATGCACCGGACAGCAAGGTTGAGTCTCCATGCCCGCAGTCCTTCACGATGCGTTGACCTTGCATCTCCTGCAAGCGGGGAAGAAGCGTCGGTCTGTCGCCGCACGGCATTCCCTCTTGGTTCTTTTTCATAGTATACCACACTATATTACGATATAGTACGGTGCAATATGGTATAGTGTTACAGTACAGTATACTATGCCGTGCACTCTAGCACATTGCGGTCGGGGTCCTGGGTTAGGTAGTTTACTTTGAGTTACCATAAAGAAGGAAATCCTAACATTCATTACGGATCCCCACTATGGTCATTCAAACTGAGTCCCTTAACAAGAACCCAACATAGGGGCCTTGACATTTGAAATAATGTTCCTTTAAGGGTTCCTTTAAAAATGGGTTCCCATAAGGGTTCTAGAAGTTGGGTACTGCCCCCACCCTGCAAAAGTCATATACGGGGGCCTACTAAGAGCTTGTTTTATGTATGTTCATATATATATATATATGTGTGTGTGTGTACATATATATATATATATAGATCTTCTCTACCTGACATCCAACCATGACAGAGTGGGGCCAGTACCCAATCTACAAGGCCGTTATCGCGATTTCCGGCACAAGAACCCATCAGTCGCCTCTGTCTTTTCATGTGGGAGTTTCCGAAAATTGGGGGTACCTTTTAAAGGGATCCTCTAAGGGTTCCTATAAGGGCTCTATAAAAAGTTTAGGGTTTAGGGCTTAGAGTTTCCGAAAATTGGGGGTACCTTCTTTGGGGGTCCTCAAAAAAGGATCCTAGTATTTAGGGTACTATACTAGGGTCCCCTATTTTCGGAAACTCCCATATCTTCTCACCGCCGCGTTTTAGGGTGTTGGATTCGGAACGGCCACTCCTGAATCAACACCTGGTACTCTTGTGGAGCAGAGGCCGCGCCCAATGTTGGAAGTCCGCGAAAGCCTCCAGCAGCTCACATTTGCAGCACAGTTTGACAGATAGCGGTTTAGGCAGTACCACAAGGGTCCAAGTACCCCATAATCATAGACTCTCCACAATCCTTGTCTACATATCTACGATCCTAAAACCCAGCACCTAATTCTTGGGTCCTTTTTGGACCCTTAGGGTAAGCCCTAGAACTCTTAGAGAACCCTTAATGGGACCCTTATAGTACCCTTTATTTTCATTTTAAAGCTCTTAAAGGACCCTTAGGGGGCAGGGTTTCGAAGCCAGAGAGCTGCCCACAGACACATTTGGAAAGACAGAAGCACCCTGAAGCTGCAACGAACCTTGAAACCTTAAACCTTAGAAGGGGCCCCCACCCTGTATATAATAGTGGTGTAATAGGAATATAATAGAGCCGTAATATGACCCTTATAGTCACTATTACAGGGTGGGGGCAGCTTCTAACCTAAACCTCTGCAGAAGCAGCAGCCTCTTCCCCTAAAGCCTCGTCCTTAAATGGCCCTAAACCTGAAGCCTTTAAAGAAACAGTGGGAGGCCCAAAGGGAAGGGGTTAAGATTCTTGGGGTAGGGATTCCTTAATATGAATCCCATTATGGGAACCCTAATCCCTACTTAACCCCCACAGGGTAAGTTCTTTTTTGGTTTTCTATGAACAGTGGAGGCCTGCTCTTACCTTCTCCAAGGGTAACGGAGGGACCCTTAATAAGGACCCCTAGGTATAGACCCTTAATGTAGCTATTATATACCCAGCCTCTTATAGGGTAGGGGTCCCCATTAACGGTCCCTCCTTTTCCCTTTGACTTTCGGGTGCGGCCAAGATGCTGATGCTCAAGGCAAGCTCAGAGTGGGGGCCGAGCATCTTCAGCCTGTCGGGCGGGGCCAATTGGGAGTTTCCGAAAATTACGGGCACCTTTAAAGGGATCCCCTAAGGGTTCCTATAAGGGTTCTATAAAGGGTTTAGGGTTTAGAGTTTCCGAAAATTAGGGGTACCTCATTTTCGGGTCCTTATAATATCGATCCTACTATTTATTTAGGGTACTATATTAGAGTCCCCTATGTTCGGGAACTCCCAAATCAATATCACTGAAGCGGTAACGTGCCATGTGGCCCCTAAAACCCTAAAACCCTAAACCCCAATAGGTGGCCTCTTTACACCTAAACCATAAACCCTAAACCCTAAACCCCAAGATGTTGCCTGCTCGTTACACCTAAACCATAAACCCTAAACCCTAAACCCCAAGATGTGGCCTGCTCGTTACACCTAAACCAGTGGCCGCCCGCGCCCGGCGGCGGCCGGTACCACTGAACGCTACCGCTTCGAGATCTGCTTGCTTGGCCAAGCAGATCGAGTCTACCAGACCTGATTTGGCACTGCTAGTTCTGGGGCACAATAGTAAAATTGGGTACCCTTATCTCCCAGCACGAGAACCCTGGCGGGGACGGGACCTGGTAGAAAGAGCTTGACGAGCGACCCTAGCGGGTATGGCGGGCGACTCTGGCGGGGACGGCTGACGACCCTGGCGGGGACTTGGTGGACGGACGACTTTGGCGGGGACGGCGCGCGACCCTGGCGGGGACGGCGGGTGGACGACTCTGCTGTGACAGCAAAAGGGCCAAAAACAGCTTGGCAGACGACTCTGGAGGGGGACGGCGGACGACCCTGGCGGACGACTCTGGCGGGGACTTGGCGACTCTGACAGGGACTGAAAAAGCCAAAAACAGCTTGGCAGACGACTCTGGAGGGGATGGCGCCTTATCTCCCAGCGCGAGAACCCTGGCGGGGACGGGACCTGGTAGAAAGAGCTTGACGATCTGGCGGACTCTGGAGGGGATGGCGGACGGGACGGCGGGTGACCCTGGCGGGGACGGCGGACAACTCTGGTGGGGGCTTGGCGATGCCTTTGACAGGCACGAAAAGGCCAAAAACAGTTTGGCAGACGGACGACTCTGGCGGGGACGGCGGGCAACCCTAACGGGGACGGCGGACACTCTGGCGGGCACTTGGCTTTGACAGCAACAAAAAAGGCAAAAAACGACGATTCTGGACAACGGCGCACGACCCTGGCGGGGACGGCGGGCGATCGTGGCGGGGACGGCGGACGACCCTGGCAAGGACGGCGTAAGGACCTTGGCGGGGACGGCGACCCTGACCAAGCGACCCTGGCGGAGACAGCGGGGTGACCCTGCGGGGACCCAGTGACGGGACGTCCTAGAAAGAGCTTGGGGACAGTGGCCGACTCTGGCAAGGAGCTTGGAGTGCGAGTCTGGCGGCAAAGCTGGACAATTCTGGCACGGACTGCCGGGCGAAAAAACCATGGCGGCCGACTGGATGACCAGCACTCTTGGCCGGACTGGCACGGACAGCGGACGGCTGCAGACCACTTCTGGAGGCCTGGCACTGGGCCCTGACGGACGACTCTGACGACGGCTGACGGACGACTCTGGCGGCTGGCGAGGACGAGCGAGGACGTCGCTGCTATTTTGTGACTACATCACTCGGATGTCCCTTTGACGTTCCGCAACATTGCAACGTCTTTTCGGCTAGTGCAGCACTCGAATAAGAAGAAGCAGACCACAAAACCCGTTCTAGTCCTGCTTCGGGTGGTTGTGGGTGGGTTCCACGTTACGAAGACGGCGCGACCCACGACCACTCCATGGGTGGGGCGCGCCGTGGCACTGTGACACACCATAAACCCTAAACCCTAAGCCCTAAACCCCAAGAGTTACACCTAAACCATAAACCCTAAAACCCTAAACCCTAAACCCCAATAGGTGGCCTGCTCTTTACATCTAAACCCTAAAGCCCTAAACCCCAATATGTGGCCTGCTCGTTACAGCCGTCGGGGCTTCAATCAGCGGCGCTGGGTAGAAGACTGCTTCGGAGGCCTGCATGATGCCGGCAAGGCAGCGCCAGCGTTGCTTCTGGGTTCTTGTTAGGGAATTTGGGGTTTAGGATCTATATAGGGTTTAGGGCCAGTCTTGTTAGGGAATCTCGGGTTTGGGATCTATAGGGTTTAGGGTCAGTCTTGTTAGGCAATTTCGGGTTTAGGATCTATAGGGTTTTGGGTTTGGGGTTTAGGGTTTGGGGATTTGTAGTTTAAGCTACCCTAATGGGGATCTATGGACCGTATTATCAGGGTTTGATATCTATGGTGACATAAATTGAACTACCTAACGAGAGCCCTGCTGGTACTGGCAGGATCATGGGACTTAGTCACTGGGGTTATAGAAAGGTAATCATACTTACAGCTAGCTGCTAGCTTTAACCCCAATTACGGTACTTACAAGTATACTTGCCACCTCCCCTAAACCCTAAAAACCCAACAGAAGCCGTGTAGTGCCCCTACAGAAACCCTGCAAAACCCTTTAAGATCTTGCAGGAACTCTTTAAGCGACTAAGTCCCATGATCTTCCAATTAAGCAAGGAACCCTAAATCCCTATAGATTCCTTGAACAACCCCTTAAGGAAGCCCTCAAGGACTCCGTTAGGATACTAAGTATACCAAACCCTAAACCCTAGGCCCCAGAAGTACCCCTGATTTTCGGAAACTCTAAACCCTTATAGAGCCCCTTAAAGGAACCCTTATAATAACCTTTTAAAGGAACCCTATAGTAGCTAATGGCTAATGAGGCGCCTGGCAATCTCCCAGCCGTAGGATTCGGAACTCAACTTCGTCATCTTCGAGCGACGGAATCTGCAAGTTGGGGACTTAGGGTTCGGGGATTTGGGCTTAGGGTTTACGGAGTTGGGGGTTGAGGGTTTAGGGCCTTCGGGATTTCAGGATGAGTGCAACAACACCGGCCGACTCGCGCTGGCAGGTCATGCCATTCGCTTTCTCAACTCCTAAAGGGAACTCCAGAAAGTTGGAATATGGCTTCAGGGTAGGATCCCCTATAATTTACCTTAAAGGGCTTAGGATAATCATATTCCAACTTTCTGGCTTTTACCTTATTGCAACATGTTGCCTTCGTGAATCATTGCACCAAACATTCTTCAACAATGGGTCAAGATCCAAGTCAAACATGCAACGCGCTCACAACATAGAATTGCGTGGCTGCAAGATGCTGTCACTGCCTGCGGCAGGGTAGTGGGTTTCGGCTCGTCCGCGGCCTCCCCCACATGCTGCTCCTGCCCACAGCCATTAAAAAACTGACCACTGCACAAGCTCTGTATCAGTACCCTCCTGATAAGCCCCAAAACCCAAGGGTCCAAGTACCTGATAATCATATACTCTCCAAAATCCTAACCTACACAACTAGCATCCTAAAACCGAGTACTTGATTATTGGGTGCTTTGGACCCTTGGGGAAATGGGATAATGTGGTCCCCAAGCAAAGGTGTTTTGGGATTACAGCGGAGGTATCGCACCTCGGTGTGGTTCAACCTACGGGATTATACAGGCATAATCTCACCCCAAGAACTTTAAAGGCTTAGGGTTTTACCTGCCCTGCTGCTAAGCTCCTCTGCTATAGCTTCGGCAGTCTCGACGAAGCAGGTAGGCTTGCCTGCGCGATCGTTCTTAATCAGAAGCCTAGCGCTGCATGGACATCGTGGAGGCGCCTGCAATCTCCAGAAAGTGCACCTGCAATGGCAGCAGCGAGGAAGGGAACTCTGTACACAAGCACTCTACTTGGAGGATCATGGGACTTATTAACTAGGGTTATAAATACGGTAACTATACTTATAACTCGAAATAGGGTACTTATAACCTTACTTACTAAGTCCCATGATCCTCCAAGTACACAAAAAGCTCTGACTCTGACCTGCGCACCCTCAAACCCTAGATCCTTAAACTTGAACCCCTAGGATACCCAGTAACCCAAGAATAAAAAGGCCTCTGTTTTTGGTATTGGGCAACTTTATAAGGAACCTAGGACTACAAAAAGGGAATAAGGGTACTACTGGGCATCCTAGACCCTGAAGCCGCGAGCAAGGCCGTTGATTATAATTCTGGCGCTTGATGCTCCGACGGCCAGAAGCCCAGAATGTAAAAGCAACAACGACTTTGCTACCTGCAGTCAAAAGGGAAAAAGGATATTAAGGACCCCTAGGTAGATACCCTTGACAGAGCTACTATATACCCATTATATAGCCCATTATGGGGCCATTATAGGGTAGGGGTACCCTTTAAGGGGTCTCCCTCATCATGCTTCCCAGGGGTTGTCCGGCTGTCTGAGGCTCGGGGATGAGCAACATGCGTCTGTTCAGCAGCAACACGTGGAGCCAAGCTCGCCCGTGTAGGACACACCGCAGGGTTTAGGGTTTAGGGGTCTAGGGGTTTAGGGTTTAAGGGTTTAGGGTTTACCACCGCGGAATTTGATGAAAAAAACGCTTTAGTTCAGCAGCGCATTCGATTTAGGGGGGGCACATCAAAATCAAAGGCGCGGACACAGAACTGCAAAGCAAGAGCCCCAGAGTCTAGCGCAAACAAACCCAACCTTAAAACCCCCAAAAAAGCCTAGACCCTAAACCCTAAGCCCTACATCCTAAATCCTAAACTCTAAGTCCTAAATTTTAAGGCTTTGGGCACCTGACAAGTCTTCCAGCCACCGCTTGGCCGTGCACGGCACTGAACGGCGAAGGAGCTGTGGCGTCCTCCATTCTGCAAGGGTTGCAGCGGGGCACAACAATGCTTTTGCAAGGGTTCTATTAGACTTCAGTAAAAAGTTTCGAAATAAGGTTCGTATGCCTTTTGGGTGCGATTCAAAACGGAATCCTAAAGGAGTCCAAAGCCGGCTATATGAGAGGCTCTAATGTACTATCATGTACTATAATGTCACGAGAAGGTACTACAGTGCACTACTACAATGTTCCATAATGTACTACAATGTAAGACGAAAGTCTACCCTTATGCATTGTAGTGTACTATAATGTACGAGAATGTACTACTACAACAGTAAAACATTTAATAACATACCACAATATTTTATGCGAAACTATGATATACTATGGTAAGTAGCCTACTATAGCCTACTACTTGGAGGGTCGGGGGACTTAGTAACTGGTTATTTTAAGGACTTATAAGTACAATAATCCCAATTAGGGTCCCGTTTATGGTACTTATAAGTCTACTTACTACCTACTTACTAAGTCCCCCGACCCTCCAAGTATGAGATACCAGAATATGTTCTAAGATACTCTTTTCCAGGCGGTGCTTCTAAAGTCTTTGAAGAATATTAGTAGGTAACGTCCTCTTAAGCCCAATAAGGGAAAATATAAAATGTCCCAAAGCCCTACCTAGCTTGTCCAGTAAGTAGCCTACTATAGCATACTATGAGATACCAGAATATGTTCTAAGATACCCCCCTAAACCCTAAACCCCTAAACCCTCAGACCCCTAAACCATTAGAGCCCTAAACCCTAAACCCTTAGAGCCCTAAACCCTTAGAGCCCTAAAACCCTAAACTTGTCCCGGCCTGGGTCTGCCCGCAGCTCCGGAGTGAGCTGTGCATCCGGTGGAGGGAGATGGGATTGCTCGGAGCACGGCGGATTGGCAAAGGGCCACCTGACGGTATAAAGGTCTGGGGTTTTGTATTTGGGGTTCAGGTTTTAGGGTTTAGGGGTTTGGGGTTTAGTGTTTGGGGTTCAGGCTTTAGGGTTTAGGGGTTTAGTGTTTAGGGTTTAGGATTTGGGGTTCAGGGTTTGGCAGAGGACCACCTGACAGGTTTAGCGCTTAGGCTCCGGGGGTATTGCAGTATCATGACCTGCAGGAGTCCTAAGGAATAATATTCAGGCTCCTATGCCTATATTAGACATGTGCAGAGTGCATGAAGTGGCGAGCCGGTTGCAAGCCAGGCTGCCGGAAGAGGCCGTAGCCACGTGCACCTGCCGAAATAGCAGCTAGAAGAAAGGCTTATGGGGTCTTTGAGGGTTCCTCTTTGAGGGTTCCTTATACTTTACGTTCAACAAGGAACCGCCAAAACCTTATTCTAACTATTAAGGCCTCTGCATTATGCACTAGGGTTCCGCGTCTAGGAGCCTGGCTTGGCGTCAGAGTGGACAGGTCAGACATGCCACCGAGCCGCGGTTTAGGGTTTAGGTTAGGGGTTTGTTTAGGGTCTTTGAAACCCCAAACCCAGGCCCAAGACCCTGTTAACCCTAACCAACCCCACACCGAAACCAAAAATCCCCACAAATCCTAAACCATCCTGAGCCACTCCGACAACCCGAAACCCTACAAACCCTACACTCAGACAGAAACACCTGATATACCTAAACCCTAAACCCTAAACCCTAAACCCTAAACCCTAAACCCTAAACCCTAAACCCTAAACCCTAAACCCTAAACCCTAAACCCTACACCCGAACCCGACAAGCCTCTAGTGAAATCCTGTAAGACTTCATTTCGCAAGCCTGCAACCCCGAAACTCTGAACCACGACAGGCCCCATTGGTATCTAGACATAGACAGATGTACATACACGTGGTCCAGGTAAGATAGGGGCCTTCATAATTAGAATAGGCTTTTGGGGCCCCTTAAATTTAAACTGCACTTATAGCAAGGAACCACGAAATGGTATTGGTAATCATTAGGCCCCTATACTAGACCGCTGGCGCGCCTCTCCCTATGAGCGCTTGAAGACCATCCTGGGCCGGCTCCCAACGTCCGCGCTGGACTTTGCACGGGGTTCGAACTCTTTGAATATGTGGAGGGGCGTCCCCAAACTACAAAGTTACAATTAGATTAATTAGATGGGTCTCCTATTGCAGCTTTCTAGTGGGTAACACATGGGTGGCTGTCAAAATTAGGGTCCCTTCTTGGGTCCTTATAAAAAGACGGTACCTAATATTTAGGGTACCCAAAAAGGGACCATAATTTTGACAACCACCCACATATGAACGTATGTTCTGGGGATGTGTGACATATCTTCGAAATACGGGATCACCCTAAGCACGATTCGTGACAATAAAGATCCTATACCCAAGTCTTTAGGGCCTATACTCAGGTCTTCCATGTTGTTATTTCCCAAATTCAAAAGCCTTAAACCCATTCTCAAAGCATTATAACACCCCCCATACACGCGTCCCCCAGGTAAAGCTCCGATAGTTTGCGACCGAGATGCATGGGCATCCATCACCTCTCACAAACAAACGGAGGATGTCTGAAGTCGGTATGGGTGTAGGGTTTAGAGGAGCTTACATAGGGGGTACAAGGCTTACAGCACATAGAAACCCGTTTAGGGAAAACTGATATTCTACTAACCCTGATGGGAACCCTTTTAAAAGGACCCTGAACCCTAAACCCGAAACTCCTGAACCCACCTGGGATCCTACTTGAAGGTACTAGGGTCATAAGTAAGGTAAGTGTACTTAAAACTGTTTGTAAGCCCAGCTAGGATACTTATAACTTATAACTGCACTTACTACGTCCTGAACCTCCAAGCACAGGACCCACAGCCCTTGACACAGCGCTCTCCGTGCCTCTGGCAGGATGCGCAGTGGCTCTGGCCTTTCCACAGTTTGGAAGTCGGGGCTTGGAGTTCTAGCGGGTTTGGTTATAGGATCCTTAAGGGGGGGTGGTTCAAGGGGGGAGGGTACTAGGGAGCTTTGGGGAACCTTAGGGAAGCTTAGGGAGTATTGGGGAATAATGGGGATTACTAGGTTACCTACCCCCCTTGGACCACCCCCCCTTAAGGACATCCTAATTTGGGATTTACCAGGCGCCCCTCAGCGCCCTTGCATCGAGCGCTTATGGTCCTTCATGGTGGGTATTCGGGGTGTAGTAGAGGGTAGTTTGGGGGCTCTAGGTAGGGTTTAGAGCAATGCAAGGTTTAGTGCCTAGGATTAAAACTCCAGACCCCGGAACCTTAAACCCTGAAGCCCTAAACCTTAACCTCAAACCCTTAAACCGCCTCGATTCCCCCAAAACCCCCCACCCAAACACCTAATGTCAAAGGGTAAAAAGAGGAACCCTTAATAAGGACCCCTAGGTATAGAACCTTCATATAGCTAATATATTATATATCCATTATATGGTCCACTATAGGGTGGGGGTCTCCATGAAGGGCCCCTCCTTTTGCCCTTAGATAATCTGAAGATCTTCAGGGTTTTCGGAATCCCTTATAGTAACCCTTATAGTCACCCTTATAGGACCCTTTTTAAGCACCCTTCAGAGGAACCCTATCTGGTTTTAATACGAAGATCTTCATGGTTAATATAGGTAAACTATACCCATTATAGGGTAGGGGCCCCCATTAAGGGTCCCTCCTTTTGCCCTTAGTTATGTCAAGATCTTCAGGGTTTTCGGAATCCCCCATAAATACCCCTTAAAGTAACCCTTATAGGACCCTTTTTAAGAACCCTATCTGGTTTTAATGTGAAGAGTTTCAGGATTTTCGGGAATCTCGGGTGTCCGCCTTGCTGGGCTCGCCGGTCTCGCAGGAACGGTGAAGCTCTTCTGAAGCGCGGGCCTCGGTTTAGGGTTTAGGGGGAGCATAATAAGAATCCCTAAGCCCTAAACTCTAAACCCTAATCCCTAAACTCTAAACTCTAAACCCTATCATCCGGGCCCGAAAGGGATCCCTTAAAAGGGATCCCTTAAAGGGCTCCCTGTAAAGGGGGAGCCTGAAGGGAATGCCCTTAAAGAGATCTCTACGCATGTATAGAGAATCCCAGCACTATTTGTCCTTTTCTCAGGTTTCCAACTTTCTGGGGTTTACTTTAAGGGCTTAGGGCGTTAAGGATGCATCCTTTAAAGGGATCTCTTCAGGCTTCCTGTAAAGAGATCAATAATAAGAGAAGGGATCCAAAATGGTTCAAATATGGGGTTTCGGGTGCTGGGGCCTTAAAAGTTAGAACAGGGCTTAGGGCTTCGGTGCCAATATGCAGCAATAAATACTTGGAATAGGGTTCATTTAAGGGTTCGGGTTTTAAATTGATTTAAAAACTTCCCTTAAGGGCTAGCATAAGGCCTTAATGATACAAGAACGAAGTATTAGTGTAGTGTACCTTCTAGTGTGCTCAATAGGTAGAATACGGTTCCTGCAGGGGCATGGGTTTCTTTGAGGGTGACGATAAGGGTTTATTATAGAATCCTTAAGTGTAACAATTCGATCAAGGCTTTGGTGTCTGCTTCATAAAGGGAGACCCAAGGCAGAGTGCTACTAGTGCACATGTTCATATAAAGGAACCTCATAGCCCCACGGACGCCCCTAGCCCCGTATTATGGCACAGCTTCGCACGAATTCAGTAGCCGGATAGGAGGATGTCTGAGGGTCAGGTCATGAGCCTAACCCCAAGGGTCCAAGGACCCAATTAGGTGCTCGGTTTTCGGATAGTAGTTATGTAGGTTAGGACTTTGGAGAGTGTATAATTATTAAGTACTTGGACCCTTGGGGTAAGAGCTACGAGACCTTATGAGCTGCAACCTCTCGGAGCCCAACATCCAAAAGCTGTCTCCGAAGCGGCGCCAGCGCCAATCGACGGCAACCTGAGTGCTCTCTTGAGGAAAACAATCTCGGGATGCCCTTGCTAAGGTCTCTGGTAATCCCATCGTCTATGTGAAGGTCTTATGATTAGGTTGGACTTCTAATCCCCCAGTGAACTGCAACTTAGTAACCCCAAACCCCAGACCCTGAAACCCGACATAAGCCCTAAACTCCTAAACAGAATAGACTTATAGTAATTACATTTACAGGTCCCTTGTAATTAGGAGCCCTGACAGAGAAGGACCCCAAACTCTGGCTTCTTAAAGGAACCCTGCCCGCAGCCTCGTAGTCTGCATCGGGCTCCAGAAATGTCAAAGCATAAGCACACCTGCATAAGGTTGCGACAGGGTCTAGGGCTTAGGCTTGGGGTTTCAATCTTTATAGGGTTCGTTCAGGATTCGTTGTGTTGAAAGCTTGCTACAAGTGTGGCTATAAGCGTTCTTTTCCGGGTTCTCATCAGCGATACTATGGGTTCGCTTAATGGTTTCTATGTAATAGAGGGTTTGGGGGTTTGTGCTTTGGGTTTAGGCTTCAGGGTTTCCTATTTCAGGAATTGAGGTTAAGTGTTTAAGTTTAGGAGAGAATCGAACGAACAATGCCCAGAGCATGGCAGATCTCCCTCTTGGCACCGAAGCATCTGGGAGTTTCCGAAAATTAGGGGTACCCTATTTGGGGGTCCTTATAATAAGGATCCTACTACATATTTCGGGTACCATATTAGGGTCCCCCATTTTCGGAAACTCCCATCTGTCTCTGTTACAACACGCCGAAACAAGAATATCGGCAAGATCAGACGGAGCCACATGGACCTTAAGCCCTGTACACAGAGCCACAGACCTTCCCAACGGGTCCAAAGTGCCTATATAGTAGAATGTAGGGTTCCCAGATCAGGAATTACCATAATGTTTTGGGAAGTATCCCCCATAACAGTACCTAGGACCCTTTGGGCTTTTTCCAAAAGAACCCTGCAGATGACGGCCTGGAAACAGCCATTGGTCCCGCCACCTGTGCGGGGATAGCATTCAGCTTCCATGCAGAAACTCTTGAAAAGCTTATAGGAATCTATACTTGGAAAAGATTGAAAAAACATTTACAGGTTTATGTATAAGGAATCTGACGGTGCTCACAAGTACAAAGGACTTAGAGGCGCCGTGCAGGGGTTCTTAGGGCTACTTAAAGCATCATGGGACTTAGTAACTACAAGTAAGGTTATAAATAAGGCAACTATACATATAGTTACTTATAACCCCAATTAGGGTACTTGTAACCGTTCTTACTAAGTCCCCTGATCCTCCAAGTAGCTGTTAGATATCTTGCGCTGCCCGACAGATCCCCACGCTGCATAAACCCAGAATCTCAGAAATATAGGGGCTGAATAATTTTAATAGGGTTTTGGGGCCCATTATAGAATAGTTATAATGAGGACCCCCCCCAAAATAGGATAGGTAGTTAATCTAGGCTCTGATATTACCCTGCAAAGTCTTTGTGCCCTGTTGCGCCTTGGCGCTGACAATGGCCGCGGTTTGCCAGGGAGTGTGCTCGGGTCTTCCAAAGAGCCTGTATGCATGCAGGAGAGGCTCTTTGAGGCATGGGTGGGGCTGTTAAAGGTTACATGCTGTAGATCTCTAAATTGGGGGGATGTCTTTTAGTGGCCTTTTTATAAGAATGCTGTACTATGTTGGGTCCGAAAAAAGGGCCGTGATGTAGAGTACTACTCACATGGCTTCAAGATTGTATCGGTAGGTTAGAAGGGTTCATAACGGTGCATGCGACGGTTCTTCTCAAACTGAGGGCCAGGGCGGGGCATCCTACCATACAGGTGGTTGTCAAAATTGGGGTCCCTTTTGGGTCCTTAATAGAATACGGCACCTAATATTTAGGGCGCCCAGAAAGGTACCTTGTTTTTGGCAATTGCCCATATAGGATCTGCAAAACATGCGGCCCAAGCATGAAACCTCCATGTTACCCAACGAGAGCTTCTCTTGTCTGGCACATCACTTGAAACCTTAAGGACGACATGAGCCCTGAAAGGGCTTGGGGTTCCTTATGTTTCATACAACCCATACTTGGAGGGTCGGGGGACTTAGCAACTGGATATTTTAGGACCTTATAAGTACCATAACCCCAATTAGGGTCCCTTTTAGGGTGCTTATAAGTCTACTTACTACCTACTTACTAAGTCCCCCGACCCTCCAAGTATAGGGCCCCTACTTATAAGGGTGTTTTGGTACCTAAGGAAGCAACCCCCCCCTTCGCTCGCGGCGCCTCTTGGTGCAGTCTCCGTGGTACCCACGCAGAGCAACGTCCTGCAGGGTTTAAGGTCTGGGGTTTAGGGTTTAGGGTTTAGGGGTTTGGGGTTGAGGGTTTAGGGTTTAGGGTTTAGGGCTAGGGTCAGGATGTTTCCGAAACAGGGTGGATGATGGATTCAAGGCTTCGCAAGATGTGGCCAGGGTTGGATTGAAGACCATCTGAGAGCATGGAGACAGGTCCTGCAATCCCTGGTCAGGATCGGGCATCATCAACCTGCATGCAGCGCAGGAAAGACTAGGATACCCAGTAACCTAAGAATAAAAAGGCCTCTCTTTTTGGTATTGGGTAACTTTATAAGGAACCTAGGACTACAAAAAGGGAATAAGGGTACTACTGGGCATCCTAGAAGAGGACCGACAAAGCCAAATCATTCTTCTGCAAACGCCACGTCATCATTGCTGCTCTCCCCGTACTAGCATCCCAAAATGCACTATCCAAAATCCTATGAGAAGCCCATTTAATCCCCAAAAAAAGAGCACCATCAGAGCCCGGCAAGATCACCATAAGAACACGACAAACCACTAGTTAACACCGCATCAAAACCTATGAACAAACCCAGAAGTAAGAAACAACATAGCCTTTACATCATCCCATACCCACAGGCCCCAAAGTAGTTCCTTTTGGGGATTACCTTATAGGATTCTATGTACGAACCCCATAAGGGCACTACTTTGGGGCCTTAGGGTAGCTATGTGCCTCACAGGGTTGATCCCCACCAGCCGCGCTTCTTCGTCAGACTCCTGGCGTGAGAGCAAGAGGGTCTAATCTGTAGTGTTTCGGGTCTGGCACTAAGTATGTAAGGGGCTAAGGGTGCGCTTAAGGGATCTATAGGGGTACTGCAAGGGTTTAGGGTTTAGGGCAGTTTAGGGCCTGCTTGGAGGATCCCTGGATACTTACTTGCCAGAAAGAACTAGTTACCTTGTTTTTATAGCCGTATAGTTTACTAGGTCCGGTGATCCTCCAAGGAGGGTGTAGGGCTCAGGCATGGCATAGGGTTTAGTTTTAAGGTCTAAGCCTTATAGGCCGTTGAAGAAGCTTATCTATCGTCCTATATCCACACTGCAGTGTAATTTCCCTAAAACCTACACTCCCACTTGGAGGGTCATGGGACTTACTAACTAGGGGTATAAATAAGGTAACTCTACTTATAACTCCACTTGGGGTACTTATAACCTTACTTACTAAGTCCCATGATGCTCCAAATAGTACTCTAAACCCTAAACCCGATAGATCCCTTTAAAGAACACTATAGCTCCCTTTAAGGAGCCGTTTAAGAACCCCTACTAAGTCCCATGATCCTCCAAGCAGATCCAGGACAGAAGCGGGAAAAGGTTGCGGCGCGCTCCTTGCGGGCGCCCGTCCAATCATCCTCTGCAGAGTAGACGTCCCGGAGCTCGTTCATCGAAGCAAACCTGTGTCAGCTACTTGGAGGATCATAGGACTTAGTAACTCGGGTTATAAATAAGGTAACTATACTTATAACTCCAATTAGGGCAAACCTGTGTCAACTATGATTGGCCTTTGACTAAGTCGTAAACCGTACAGTAGAAGCCAAAAAGTTGCATCATTATCCTCGTGCACCTAAGGTAGCGCATACTGAAACCCAGAATTAATCATCCTACATCAATATTCCAACTTTCTGGGATTCACTATCCCTTGAACAGCTCCCCCTGAGAGCGCTGCATCGCAGCCGCATCATTGTAGGCATCCAGCCTTCAGAAAGGCGTTACGGTCAGACTGGGGTTTAGGGTTTAGGGTTCCTTTTGAGGGGGTCTATTATAAGGGCTACTATCAGGCATCTAGAGTAGGGTTCTATAGTTCTATAGTATAGGGGCCTAGGTAACTGGAATCGCGTTTTGGGGCCCATCATACTAGATTATAACAAGGAACCATCAAAATAGTGTAGGCAATTATTAAGGTCCCTATAGTAGAGTTCTGCATAAGGGTTTCTACCAGAGGTTTCGGGTCTGGGGCGTGGGGTCTGCGGTCTAGGATTCACACCACATCACGCGCATGACTAGGCGTGCCTTCGACGCCACCGCAATCGATATTCGATCGTCATCGGTGGAGACGGACTCACCTGGGGCTGCGCGTGATGCATGCGAGCTGCATAATCGGGGTCCTTAATGGGGCTTTGGTGTGGACGATCGTAAACATGTAATACGGAACCCGAGGGAATTGTTTGAGAAAACATTAAGGCCTCGATATTAGATTTGAAGCCGGCCACTTGCATCCAACTTGTCATGATGCCTTCGGATTCTGTCTGGCCCCCTGAATCGCTCCCCCAATCCCTAAGCCCCAAAACCCTCAAACCGTACACCCTACCCTAAAACCCTAACCGTCAACCCCAAAACCCTCAAACAAAAAAACCCTAATCTAAAGCCCCAAGCGTGGACCCCAAGCCCTCTTCTGTCCAAGACCCTAAACCTAAAGTCCTAACCGTAAACCCCAATCTCTCTTGGCTTCTGTCCAGCCGCACTGTCAGCAGACCAGGCAAAAGCCGGGAAGGCGAGGGGTGCCCACGACACCTCTGTCTTCGATAGCACTATTTTGCAGTGTTTAGGGCTTAAGGATAAGGGTTTAGGGTTTAGGGCTTTGTTTAGGGCTTTTTGGTTTCAGGATAAGGGTTCAGGGTTTAGGGTTTCAGGATAAACGTCGTGTCAGGGCTTGAGGGCTTGATATCGACGGTTTGCTACACTTCGGCGCATTGAGCGCGCAACTCCCGGCACAACTCAGCGTCGGAAAAGCACAAGCACCAAAAAGGATGTGACAACAGGGTTCTTACAGGGCTCGTTAAAGGGATCTATAGGGTTCCTTCAAGGGATCTATGGGGTTTAGGGTTTAGGGTCTACTTGGAGCGAATGCCACCGATAGAGGGCTAAGACGGCAGCGTCGGCCACTGAACAACGACAGTTGTGACCTCAAAAGCTCAGCGTTCAACCAAAACCGCCACAGAATGCACTGCGTTCTGTGCTCGCATAAGCTTGCAGCGCTCTCCTTGCCCCAGGAAGGAAATTTGCAGGCCATCGTCCTGGTCTGCATGTTGCACTCGGGGTCGTATAAGGTTTCCTTCAAGGCAATCTACAAGGGTTCCTATAAAAGGATCCATACGGGCTCCTTGAAAGGGTTTCGCTAAGGGTTCCTGTCAGGATTTCTATGAGCGTGTCTGGACCCGCAGCAAAGAAACCTCAGGGCCAGTTGCCAACCCTAAACCCTAAACCCCCTACCCGCTTCTTAAGACAGACCCCGGCCTTCAAAGGGCTTTCAGGATGTTTTTGTGGGCGTCTTTCCTCATAGCCGGATTTCGGGTTCAGATGTTACAACAACAAGAACCGCTTGTACTGATAGGAATAAGAAGGAACAACAACAATAGTAATAGTAATACGTTATAAGTCATTATTGTTCCTAATAACAATAGGGTTTGCGGAAAAGAGATGCAAGGCCAACATGGGAATCAGAAGGTCCTGACACATGCCAAACTGCTCCAGGGACACCCGAAAAGGATCTGACTCCTGCAAGTCAGAGCATGGGCCGAGAAGCGAAGTCCACGGTTTATAGGGCCCCAAAAAAGCACATCAGCAAAAATCAGGATAGTGATATCCCATATAAACCCCCTTATAATGAACCTATAAAATGCTTATGCTTATGTGCTTTTGGGGGTCCATAAGTTTAGGGTTTCTGGTTTAGAGGTCGACGGGTTTAGGGTTTAGGGCTTAGAGCAACAAGCAAGTGACCAAAGCTGAACTGGTCTGAGACTTCGGCAAATGCTTGGATAATGCGGTTTTGCAAACCATGGAAGACTTTCCAGTCACATGAGATGCAGCCAGTGAGCAGTGCTTTATGGTATAGCTTTGGCGCTGGCGCTGCCAATTGCGTTGTGTTTTTACCTCTTGTCGCTGCTGTTCTACTGATTTCGCTTGACCGCCTCAGTGGGAAGGTACTATAGCAGCCTGAATAATTAAAACAGGGTTTTGGGGCCCATTATACTATAAGCATAATCAGGAACCCCCACGCCAAAATGTGGTGTAGGTATTTATTAAGGTCCCTATAGCAGAGTCCTCTGACTGCCCGCCTTAAAAATCTATATGCGTAATTCTCTATACTCGGGCCCTTTCCGGCCCCCAATATAGTACGGCACCCTCATAAAAAGAACCCTGAAAGGGACCCAAATCTAGAGAACTACCCATATGCGGCTGTCTCCATGCGTCTCTCGCTTGACCTAAACCCTAAACCCTAAACCGTGGCTGTCTGTCTCTCTCTCTCTCTCTCTCTCCCGTTCCCTCCTGCCTAGACCCTCCATCTACCCTCCATTAGACCCTAAATGCCCCTTATTTGGGACCATATACCCCTATTTGAGGGTACAAGGAAGGTCCTGGTATTCTCCAAAATCCGAACCTACATAACTACTATCCCTTATAGAACCCTTTAAAAGGAGCCCCTTCAGGAACCCTTTAAGGAACCCTATGTCCCATGATCCTCCAAGTTTTGTAAGCCTAAACCCAGTACCGGTCTCTGGCTTTACTGTCTCTGTGTCGGGAACCGCAGCCTCGCCTCAAAGGCAGTCCATCATTAAACTCACTATCATGGCTTTCTTTAAAAAGGGCTTATAGGGTTTAGGTTTTTTTTTTTTTTTTGGGGGGGGGGGGGTTGTAGGGTTTATATACCAAGACCCTCCTCATACCCTCAGAAAGGGGTATATAGTCCCAAATAGGGGGCATGTAGGCTCTAATAGAGGGTAGATGGAGGGTCTAAGGACTGTCTTTTATTGTCATCATTGTTGTTATTCCCACTTCCATTGCTACTACTATCATTGTATTTGGTATTGCTATGATTATTGTTACTATTGTTATATCCATTACTATTGCTGTTGTTATTATACTTACAAAGGTACTATTGCTACTACTATGATGATTGTGACTATTACTGTTATTAGGATTACTACGATCATTATTTCTACTACGGTTAACATTACTATGTAATGTTATGACATCACCTGAATATTACTACTACTATTATTTGTTTCGTTATTACTGGTGTTTATGACTCTGTCGGATGCATTTTCGCGTCTGTGTTACACACCCCTTGAAACCGTAGTTCTCCGAAGCCGCGCCGGGCCGAAAAACGAGAATCGGCGGCCTCCGACCACGGTGAGAACCGGGAAACGGAGCAACTGCGGAGGCTGAAGCAATACTCAGAGTGGTAGGAGAGCCTCAGCAGCAACCCTACACCCTGAACCCTAAACCCTTTCGGTTCAGGGTATAGGGTTTAGGTACCCAGAGTAGTAGGAGAGCTTTGGTCGTAGTGGTTTGGGATTTGCTTTAGGGTTTAGGGTTTTTGGGACTTGGGGCAGCCGGCTTTTAGTGTTTCGGGCTTTAGGGCTGCGGGGGTTTACTCAGAGCGGTAGGGCCTTCGTACCTGGAGGGTCATACCCTACCCCCTTTTTTCGGGTACCTCCTTTAACGGTTATGATCTCCTATATAGAAAAGTAGGTACCTTAAAAAAGGGGTAGGGTATGAGCCTATAGGTAGCAGCCGGCACGCTTTCCGGTTGAAGGGGCCCTTGCATTTCATCTGAGCTCTCGGCTGATGTGTCGGTGCCAAGGCATGGATTACAGCACCTCAGGGGATGCCAAGAATCCAAGCAGTCCATCTCTTCCCATGCGCCAGGGACAGAGACGCGTCAGAAAGAGCACTACATCATGAGCATAAGCCGTACATGAAGCTGGGAAATGTTTTGGCGTAAACAATTACCAATATTGTACTCCAAAACCCCATTCTATTAGTTAAGACCCCTATAGTAGTTCCCGGCTGGTGCCTTCCGACGTCTCCAGCGGCACCTGGAGTCAACATGGGGGAGCATTGGCATTGGCATTCCCAGGTCTTCTGCTTCGCTTGTGGTACTTGGAGGGTCCAAAAACTTAGTAAGTAGGTGGTAAGTAGACTTATAAGTACCCTAAAAGGGCATCCTAATTGGGGTTATGGTACTTATAAGTCCTTAAAGTAACCAGTTACTAAGTCTCCCGACCCTCCAAGCTTGTGGTAGGATTTCGGATTTAGGGCTTGCGGGCTTTACTGCTACCTCTACACACGGAGAACTTCGCCATGCCCACTTCTAAACCCCACACTCTAAACCCCTAAGCCCCAAACCCCTAAACCCTAAACTCTGAACTCTAAACCCTGAACCCTAAACCTTCAGACCCTCGAGCCCAAGCCCTCCCCCCTTGGCGAACCCTTTCATGGTCACCCTAAACAAGCCAGATTCTCCAAAACCGTTGTTTTAGGACGATCCCTGAGTTTTTACTACTAGAATTTAGCATACATTCCTCAATTCAGGTATTTTGTCATCTCTTTATAACCCTCCTAGAACAGGGTTGAGCTGTACGACTTTGGCATAAATCAAAAAACAGGGTCGTGACTTAGACGGTTTGAGAAGTCGACCGCCTTTTTCCGCACAATCGACTTCCACGGTTTGAGCAGTCGACCGCCTTTTTCCGCACAATCGACTTCCACGGTTTGAGCAGTCGACCGCCTGATTCTGCACAATCGACTTCCACGGTTTGAGCAGTCGACCGCCTGATTCTGCACAATCGAGTTCCTAGCTCGGGGTGCAGCCCAGAAGAAAAAAGAGCTCGAGCCTCGAGCTCTTTTTTCTTCTGGGCTGCACTGACGCCGTCAAGGCCACATGATGGACCGGCTGAGTGAAAACAACGCCTAACATGAACTTAAAATACTGTTTCGTTTGCGCTCCACCATAAGGCCACGGCAAGCTGAGCGCCGAGACCGAAGTCGACCGGCGAGCTCAGGAATGCACCGGGACGGAAGTCGACCGGCAAGCGATGTGGTCACCCCAGTGCTTCAATGTCTACGACCGTTGTCAAGGCCATCTCCGAACCTGGCGGCCGGTCCATCGGCTTGTGGTTGAGACGATTGGCCCAATCGTCCAGCCACATGATGGACCGGCTGTGTGAAAACAACGCCTATAACATGAACTCAACTTTTTCAATGACATGACCTTGACATCAGCATGTCGAACATGCTCGGTCAAGCAGTTCAACGAGAAGGCTCTGTAGGCTACAGAGCCTTCTCGTTGAGCTGCTTGGGAACCGTGGGGCAGCTCCAATGCGAACACCTCTCAGAGGGATTCGCATTCGAGCTGCCCCACGGCTCCAGAACTCCTTTGTACACTCAGGAGGCACGCAAAGTGAAGATTCAGCGAAGCTGAAGGACCGGCACTGTGTCTGGTCTTCCAACCAGCAGCCACGGACCATTTGGACGGCATGGTCGTACCATGTCATCCACCTGGTCGACCTGCTCTCAGAGGAGGGCTCACCACGTCTGCCTGGCAATGAGCAAACGACATTAATTAAGATTGACTGAAAATAGGCACGACCGACGTGGCACAGGATGAATCATGGAGCAAGTGTGCCAATCAGATATTGGGCATTGCACCACACTGCATTTTTTTAACCGCACTGTTCTTCAACGCGTACAGGCCAAGGCGACCGCCAACATTACTCCACAGTTGGCCACATGCATTCCGTTGCCGACCTGCTGTCGGTTGGGCTGCCCCAGGACCCCATAGTTCATTGCCATTGCTGCTGCCATTTCGACCGGCAGAAGCCATCGGCTCAAACCATCCACCCAAATTTTCGTATTCGTGCGGAAAGTTGGCAAGCGACCATCTTTTGTAGTCATCTTAAGGAAACGTGCAGGGTTTTGGCTGAGATCAAAGACCGGCTCCTGCTCTTTGTCAGACCTGCACTGCTGCCAAGTTTCACGGTACTTTGCCAAGTATTTCTGCTGCTGCCCAGTCAGCAGACATTCCCACGACCGGCTTGGCGTCTGCACCATGTCTAAACCCTTTGCTCTGCGACAGAAGTTCTCCTCTTCTAGAGTCTCCTCGACCGACCCTATGTAACAATCTCTGATGGACAGTCCACCACCGACGGAATTGAAGAAGCTTGTCACGAAATGGTAGACCGTCGGGATATCGGCAACCGACGCTCTCGACCGATGTACTAGCACGGAATATACCCGTGGTCGATTCACACAGGTGAAGCCCACATGGTGTGGCTCGACCCGCAAGTGATGAATGACATACTTTTCCTGCATGAGATCCTCCAGGACCGACGTGGGAAAGCCAGACACGTTTTCGTGCAGTATGACCGGCGGCTCCTGCTTCAACATAAGGGCTGCCCATAGCAGGAGAAGGTCAGACCGACCGTCGGTCCAGCGCCTCTTCTGTCCAGCTCTCGACCATGGCTGGCATGGGCTACCGCTGATGTCGACCGTCACGGGTGGTGGCCGGCATGCAACATGACACCGACATATTCTTGGGACGTTGGCGGCTGCTCTCTTGGCCAGTGCCCACCGCTCTGCGACCGGCCGGTCAGGACCTAGCATTTCCAGAGTCGGAAAGGCATCCCTGATATCTCCAAAGACATGCTCCGACCGACCCATCAAAAGATTCTGGCAGGCCCGTGATAAGTCACACGCAGACACGAACTGCAGAGTCGATCTCTTGGCGACCGCCCGCGTGGTGAACTTACACAGAAGAAGTTCTTGGAAGGCCTTGTGCACACGCTCGACCGCCTGCTCAGCACATCCAACACCTGAGAAATGTGTACTGACACGGATTGGGCCAGCCAGCATGGAACCTGGTCAGGGTGCTCAGAAACTGATAACGATTATTATTACTATTGCTCTGATAATGATAACTTATTAGCATTATGACGATTGCAAGAATAATTAATAAACGGTTCTTAATCGATGGGTTTCACAACAGCCATGCCTTGAAGTTGCTTGACCGACAAAATACGACTTAAAGCAATCATCGTGATCTCAGGCCACTGCTTGGCACCTGCCATGCCGCTGCCAAAATTTGCGACCGGCGTCGCATTTGCCTGGTCCACGTCAATATCTGGCATATCTGACGCCGGAAGAGACTCCGACCCACTCTCATCCGGCGACCAGCTCTTCAAGCTTTCGCTGCCTGAACATATCTGGAGGTCGACCGACATGGACTCAGACTCCGAAAGGAGCTCCATCTGCTCCATGTCTAAAGTCTAGTCTCAAGTGAAGTTCTCATGTATATTATAGGTATGATGATACGCTGATGCTGCCGTGCAATGGCTTTGTTCAGTCCCAAGGCTTGTTGCTCCCTGACACGACCACGGCTGCAAGAAACTCTCTAAGTGATGTGTAGTCGATGATGCTATAAGAGCTGAAGCACAGCTGGCAAGTCAGACAGACAGAGTCAAGCAGAAGGCCATGCCATCGTGACAGCATCGCCTTGTGATCGACCGACAAAGGGCTTACACATCGCCTCGTTGTCTTTCTTTCAGTGGCAGCGACCAGCACGGCAACCACGGCCTGGGCCACATGAGCTCTGATTCTTTGTCATTGTACGAGCTAATCACAGGACGGTCAGGTTACTAAAGAAGGTCTGAGCTTCCAACATGCCACCAGCTGGAGATGCAAAGCAACTCGGATCCACGATCGCCCGGCAGTGCCGGACAGTCGTGGGCCAGGGTTGCTTCGGATCTTCATCTTATGGCATTGACCGGCCTGCTTGACTGAAGATAACATGTGAGAGAAATCAGGAGGAGTGCAGCAAACAAACAGCTGGGGGTCCGACGAGACCACTGAAGCACCTAGTGCCCAACCTGAAGAACCACTTTGCTGACAGCAAAATGGTTCTGCAGCTTGGGCACCATGATGGCCTGGTGCTTTGCAAAAGACATGATCACCAACCGAGCTAGTGCTTCATATGCAACACACGGCCCAGTCCTTTGTGCAGCAGTGACCGGCGATCCAGTCATGGCCTGGGTGACGTGACTCACTCGAAAAGTGACCGAGCTAGATCTTGGTACACAAATGCAGTGTTCACAACATCGTCGGCATTTTTTCTCAGCAGCGACCAGCTCACTTCCAAAGCTTAGCCCGACTGGCTTGGTACTTCTTGCCATCCTCTGATTCCAGCCACTCTTTCAAGTAGTCTCTCATAACAGAGGAGGCGACCGACTTCTGCTGAGCGTGCAGGACCTGCACTGAGGTTGGCAGCAGTTGCACTTTCCTTGGCTCTCTGGTCCTTCCAGTCAACTTGAATACTGTAGAGTTGTATTTTTTTAACAATTAAGTTGATTCCTTACATTTGATTAGTACATGTCATGATTGAGTCAAATAATAAACTAATACTATGTGCAGGCTGATGACCCGCCAACGACCGCCTTCTGCACAGCTTGCTGGAGAACATCAGGAAGATCACACGGCAATGACGAAGAATGTTGCTGCTGAATGTTCCTCAAGACGACCGACAATCCACCATCGATGTCTTGTGGGAGCAGTGGATCCAGCAGTTCTGCCATGTCCTGACGGCTGTGCCCAGAAAGCTCTTCAAACGACCGTCCAGACAGACGCACAGCATTGTTCTTCTGGCGGATCTGCTCAGTGGGTCCTCCTCCTCGGGCTCGTTTGCGGACCGACATGATCGACCGGCAGACTGCAGCTTTGAGGATTTCATCGCGGTCCGAGCCCAGCATGTGCAGCCCACCTTGGGCCTCAGACAGGCAATTTCAGGCTCGTGTTTTTCTCTGTCTAATCAAAAATACATTGAATAATTGATGAATCAACACTAGAACTAAACAAATACTTTACTATGTGTTTCCAGAGATCCAAGAGCAGGCGATCGACCGCCTGTGCCGGGGTAAGACCAGCACAGGCATCGTACTGGTAATTCATTATGGAACCCAGGCGCTCGATGGCAGCTTCAGGTGCTGCCAGCAGCCGAGTACGATGATGCAAGCGACCGACATGCCAGCACTTTGGGTCTGTTCTG